GCTCCCACTGCCACATCATACTCCTTGTCCAAGGTCATTTCAACAATACGATCCTGCAGGGGAAACATATGGGTTGTGTTTCAAAAAGGAACCACACAAAAAGGCACCAATAATTCTCATTATCCATATGATATTTTGGGTTTTAAAAATGTTTGATGACACCATTATTTTGTGTAAACTTTTGCATCATGTGCTGCAAAGCTTCCCCTCCTCCTCTCATTAATTTGTTAGCCATCACAGATTCCATTAATTTCTTTAATTGAATCACCAGAATCCTCCCCCCTTACCACCCTTCCAGTCCCCTCCCAATGTTTCACTTCAACACAAGTTCCCTTACCTTGAACCTATTGGTGAACAGCTCCATCTTGTGGGCAAAGGTGTTGGTCTCATACAGAGGCTGCAGTGTCTTAAAACAGTCCGATCGCACTTGACCAACCTGAATATGAAAACATAACATTACTGACATATTTGAACGAATGACATTTTATTTTTAATATCATTCTAAAACCACAAAGGGTGCAACCTCAAACAAAATATCAATGTGTTAGTGTTATCTATCTGAAATAATTGTATTGTTGCAACAACAGCACCTTATCATAGAGCGTCCAGCCGACATATTTCAGGTAACTGTCGTCCAGGAACATGTTGGGATATTTCCTCATCCAGACTCCGATCTCCTGCATGCAGATTGTTCTGATCTCTGGCTGAGTGTCTCTGGAATATGGATATAAAACAGGAATGAAAAATAAACACAAATAACGTGTATTCCAAATTTCTATTCGTTATCTGTTTATACATACATAAATATCTGTTTTGTATTTTTACCCCTGCGACCAACAGCGATAAAAAGTCTTCATCTCTGTTGGTTTCTGATTGTTACTGGACTATACAAACAGTTATTTACAAATTCGGATAAAATTTTCAGGATAGACAGTTATTCAGGGAGGAAAGAAGCTGTAACAATTTCACCTGAATCCAGGTCTCACAATATTTTCAAAATGATTTTTTTTACCTTTTCCTTGTCAAAAAATCTTTCCTCCTTGAGTGTCTAGTATTAATTAATATTGTAAAAACTGCTACTTCTCACCTGTATCTGTGTACAAACACTCCCTTGAATATATAGGTCAGCATGTTTCTGATCTCTTCCTGATTCTCTTCAAGCTGGAATAAACACAGTACATCATTTAAGTTTGATCTGTTCAAAATGCAACTTTCTCATTCTGATTTCTCTGATTCCAAGCTAAAAACAATGAAATACCTCATAAAGTTACATTTCTTTAAATCTCAACTAGCGTTCTATAAAGAATTCAACTTGAATTTCTAAAATGAAGAAATAAAATAAAATGAAATATTTTCATAAAGAAAAAACTTTGACGTAATTAATTCTTCTTCCAACCTTTTGGAAAAACAGGATATGTAACAAACCGCAAACCATGTCTTACCTCTGTTCTCTTGCTCATCAAGACTTGCAGCCTCTCTGCTGACTGCTTCTGTTTGTTCTTCTGTCGCTCTGTCTCATACTGTTTCTGTGCGTTGTCGAGATTGATGCTGAGGTTGAGAGCAACATCCACCAGCGCAGTCATGAGTTTCATAGCTGAAATGTAAAATTATATTGTCAAATTATTTACTGGCCTCTCAATGTCTTAGTCCCTCAATGGCTGTAAGTCAGACTGTAGGCATTTTAGAAATGTGAAGTTCTTTAGTCAGTAGCTTGGGAAACTGATATTAACTTATAGTTTACCAGCCAATTTTTTTTCTTTGTCCATTCAAATTAAATAGCTAATAAAACTTTTGGTGGTTTTGATACTAAGTTACTTTGAAAACCTTAATTAGAAAAGAGCATAAAAAGTGTGAAAAGGAAATGTTTTCCAACTGATTTCTTTTTTATCTGCATTAAAAGAATAAGCTCTGAACCTATTCAAGTCTGCTTTCACTATAATTGTATATAATGTAATATCTATTATTTATATAATTGTTATTCTATCAATGTTTTATAATGTTGTAAAAGCAATGCATATATATATATATATATATGAAGTATGGCCTTAGACTTGTTAACCTTGTGTTAGTCCCCCCAAATAACTCATTATTCAATATTATGAAAAAAAAATATAATCTCAAAAATAAAATAAAATATATCCCTACTCACATGCCAAGGTGCTGGTATGTCTAAATGCTCTGACCTGAGAGTCAGTGAGGCCAGTGAGGAGAGAGATGAGGTTGTCCATCATGTACTGGTCATATATGATGCTGTACTGACACTGTCTGACCAGTACCTGGACAAACTCACAGAAATTGGTCTTAAACTTCTTCCACTGCTGGCCAGTCATGATTAAGGGATAGTCCCCACTTTCCTGAGTTATGAAATATTTATTTAGCGGTGCCACTATGAAACATCATTATCAAATACAATGCAAATATGAAGGGAGAGTCCCCACTTTCCTGAGGAATAAAATATTTATCCTTTACCAATATGAAACAACGGGTATTAACGCTAATTATACTAAAAAAATCTCCCTAGTATCAAAATAATAAATAACTACACAATAAATAGATAAGCTAATTTACTTATACTAAAGAAAGAAAGAAATTAACATATTATTTCTTTTTGCCAAATCATCATCTAATTGGGAAAATTGTAAAAAGATTTTTCAAAATGCTTCTTGGCAAAAACTAAAAAGACAGTCTGTCAAACAATAAGATATATAAATGAATAATTAGTCTGAAATAATAATAATTACCTCATCAAATTCCTCCGTCATTTTACGAATGATCTCAGCATGTTCCATGGTCTCATACATCTGTTGTGATATCTTGCCACGGCAACCAGAACACTGGATAAAGAACTGGATCAACTGGAGCAATGCCTGGTCACGCTCCTGTTTGTATGACTCTATCCAGTCATCAACTATACTCTGTAAAATATGTATTCATTGAAAATATGACTAAATTATTTATATTTTGGATGAGAGTATTTTTCACAGCAACTATTGTTTGTAGGATTAACTACTTATCTTCCATGCTCTATAAAATATTTTTTTAACCATTGAAAATATGTCTAAACATTTTCATTTTAGACAAGAACTTTCTCAATTGCTTGGAGGGATTATTTGGAGGAATTGTGAAAGCCATCTAGTATAATCAACAACAATTTTTTTTCCTTTACAAGTCTATGAGTTTCTTGTTTCTAGTTCTTGAGTAACTCATGTAACAGTATATAACAGAAATTGAGAACAGGTTAATAAACCAAAATGGCACTTTATGGCGCTTTTCTCAATGGTTTTCTTGAGGGCATACATTGGTGATTACGGCATAAGTTAAAAAATTTCCTGGAACATTTTTCATCGAGCTAAATTAAGTGCATCGTATGCCTTAAGTGTGTACCTCACAAGAGAATAAAAGACTCACCTGGAGTGCAACCTTCCCAGTCTTCACGATCTCAAACAACGAGCCCTCAGTGTCTTCTCTCTCCTCCTTCTTCCTGCCTTTCCCTCCTCCAGCTCCGCCCCCTCTCTTAGGCCTCTTGATACCCTGGTGAGAGAGAGAGAGAAAGAAACAAGTTCAAATTCCCATATCAATATGAGATTCTGATATATCATGGAAGCAGATACAAATAAAATTCTGAAATGAATCTGGCTTGCACTGGGTATGAAACTTGGAGAAACTGTATCTTTACCTTCAGTTATATTCATTCACCTTTTCTAACTAATTATAAAACACAAAAATTTAGGTATTTGCTGTTTGTCATAATGGACGTGATATAATTATAAGTGCAACTGTTAAGGTGCTACAAAATCAGAGCCCCCCCCCCCCCCAATATGACTCTAATTTCATAAATAATACTTCAGTGTTTTTTCAATGCATCAAATAAATAACAATACACATCCCCTTCACATGGGAAAAGGGACTTTTATAATAGCTGGACAACTTACAATGGCAGAGTGAGCTTCCTTCCCTCCTCCTCTCTTCCTTCCAGAAGCCGCTGCCTTGGATGGTTCAAAGTCTGAGTCCTCATCATTCTCTGGTCTGAGTAAAATAAATTTTCATCATAAGAAAATGTGCTTTCAGATAAAAATCATTGAAAAAACAGAGGTAAATACACTGCATTCATCTTAATTAACTTAGAATAACGTTTAGATCAAAAGTTTGCATCAGTAGCTTCTTTAAATATTTGGCAAAACAAACAAGTTTATAAAATAAATCACGTTATTAAAAGTAATATCAGTGACTTACACAGACACCTCAGAGGTGGGTTCCAACTCACTGGAAGCCATCTGAAAGGAATATAATTTTATCTTCAGAATTGTGACATGTTTCAAACCTGCACTCTATGTTTTGCTCTGTACAACTGATTTACTTTTCATTCATTTAAAATATGATATTATATATTACCCTTCCCCCCCAAAAAAAAAAAAAAATAATAATAATAATAATAAATAATACATGGACAATTCTTATCCTTGAAACAGATCAGGCAACAGAAACCAAAAAATAGTATCTGCGTTGGTCATACTGATTTCTTACCACATTCAACAACTGAGATCAGAATATTCTATGTATATCAGCTATCTTTACATATCATGCATTGCATGTCTAGTGTGTAAAGGCTATAGCCAAAGGGGGGGGGGGGGGGGTCAAATGCAATCAAAATTTACAGCAGATCCTGCTGCATGAGTCGATCAAACATTGCACAAGGTAATATTCAGAAGCAATCATTACGATATAATCGAAAAATAGGAGGCCCTCAGGAAAGTTTAAATGGTTAGATACTCCGTCTATTTCAGCATCTCTTCGTGCAGTAGCCGGCTACACAAAGAAAGGTTCGTTCTCCAAAACCTCCCTTCTGATTGTCTTTGTGCTTGGCGTGTTACAAAATTATTGTCTGTAGATTTTATTGTTTACAATTGTGATTCTTAACTTACCTTTCTTTTTGTCTTATCTTCGACTTTCTCTCACCCAGTTCCGTACACAAAAATATACGGCGGGAAAGCGGGTCAGGTCAAGGACGCCTGCCTCGTTTTGAGATTGGTCACATGCCTAAACGCGGCGACTTCAAAGTTGAAAAGCTGTCAGAAATCGCTAAACGACGAAATCAGGTAAATTTTTTCACCTTTTGATAATTCCGACCAGTTAAAATTGTACTGATGTATACATAGTTATCTGTAAGATGCAGCAGTTGCTCTCGATCGTCTCTCAACGATAGATTTAAACATGATCAGCTAAGATAACAAAATATGAAGCACAGAAATTTAAAGGGACAAGTCCCCCTCCCTACTCCATAACCCCTATATCTCCCTCTCATGACTGTGTACGTTTTTTTATCAATAAATACAAATAAATTGAAAAGTGGTGTGGCTACTTGAGATGGGTACAACCTGGTCACTATTCTTTATAAATATGTCGCCACTAATAAAATGGAATATATTAAGTAATATTTTCTGAGTAATCATTCAGGGAGATAATGCTATGCAAAACTACCGGAGTATGAACTTGATTACTACATTACATAGCACAGTTGACATTAAACTAGGGAATTATATGTATACTATATAATAATGTGAAAACGGGCTGATACATATTATTTGAATTTTTTCTAGATAAAACAAAGGAAGAGTGACATCATGGCGCACTTTAACTTTGAGAACAACCTGAGTGAGCTGACCAAGCTTGACGCACCAATGCAGAGGGGTCCGTTGATGAGATGGCAGAGGAAGGCCCTCAGTCTGGATGACCAGGCCGGGGCAGGGGGGAGCAGTGACAGACATCTATCTCTGCCTGAAGGTGGGTTAATTTTAATACTTTTTAATACCCAACCCCCCCAGCCATGTAGAGTCAGTATTTTGGGGGAAGCGAGTATATGTAACTCTTAAGCAATGTTCCTCTTTTATTTTTCACACTTTTTAAATTTTTTTAGCAGGAATAGCTGGGGGACTGTCTCCAAGACGTACTAGAATAGGCTCCTCGAGGACCCCAAGCAAAGGCTCCAAGACTCCACTAACCTGCAGGACACCAAACAGAACTCCTGGGAAAACACCTGGGAATTCCAAGAAAGTTTCTGGGAAAACACCAAATAAGAAAACCCCCTTGACCCCTCACAGTGACAGGTTTGCTGACTTTTTCCTGATTTTTGCCAAATATGTTTATATTTTATTTATATAAATTATGACATTTAAATAACAATGATCAATAAGTCCAGCTTATCCCTTGTGTTAAATTAATACATCAGGTTCAACCCCCCCACCTTCTTTCCATCAGTTCAATCTTGAACATAATAAGAGATTATGTTCAAGGTTCAATTTATACCCACTGGGTTTATGACCTCAACACATTCTCCACTTTCCTTTCCCCATATATTCCCAGTGTTTATTTGACTTCTACAGGTTCATTCACCCCTTCTCCCCATAAATTGACTTAATCCCCAGAAAGGCTTTCCCCAGAGAGCCATCCAGTTGTCATTTGGACAGCAATTTGCCACAATAGACTTCCTATATTTCTAAATACAGCTGGATGACTTACAAAATTATTGGGTTGGTTGGTTGGGTTTGCTTGTGTTGGACTCCCTGGGAAGGGATGAAAAAATTAAAGATTCGCATTTTGGACTCCCTGTAACCCAAATCCTGGGGAAACCCCTGATCCCCAGTGTTTATTCATCTTCCACAGGTTCATCCCCAGCCGGTCCACCACAGACCAAGACCTGGGCCACTACCTGATGATGAACAATGAGAATGAGAACCCCCTGGCAGGGGGAAAGGTGGACTACCAGCAGAGAGTGACAGAGAACATCTGTAAGGGGCAGCAAGACCCCCAGAACGCCAAGATTTTGTCATTTAGACAGAAGGCACCACAGGCAAAAGAAGGTATGAAGACAGTGTTTTTATAGTTATATGTGCATGAATGCATGCACTCACACGGTATGTGCATGCTCATACATATGTGCATGCTCACACACACACATGCACGCACACACGCATGCGCACAAACACACACACACGCGCACAGTTTAGTATAATATAGCATGTAAAGCACATGCGGTGGTCACAGGCACATATATACCATGTGAGCATATGCCATAGTCACAGACAAGCATGTAATCATGCATTCTTGCAGGCAGGCATATATGCAAACTGGGACCACATAAACGTATTTTCTTAGTTGATTTTAGTCATATAAAAATTTTTTTCACCAAGTCCATCTCAGTAATCTCAGTGTACCATTCCAGGTTATCTGAACAACCTGAAGGTCCTGTACAGCTCTGGTAAGTGCTCGGCCCCTAAGGCTCTATCTACCAGACAGATCCCTCAACAGCCTGACAGAATCCTGGATGCACCTGAGCTACTGGATGATTACTGTAAGTTACAGAATGATGCCGCTCGCTCAGAGTTTCAGTGAGCCTAGGGTGCTTGAATTCTTCTACACAGCATAGGCCGTATTCAGAACAACAGACTAACTAATCCACGGTTCAAATATGGCAGGCCCACTTGAATACTTCCCCACAGTACTTCCCCAGTGTCTATTATTGGATAAGATGGCAAGCTTTTTAGTCGGTCACCATATTTAGCCTGCAGACTTGTTAGTCCTCTGTTCTGAAAGAAGCAATATTATCTGTCACCCTTAGTTTCAGGGCTCTGATGTTAACTTTCCCAAACCAGTTTAGTCCCTGTTACTTTGGGTTTCTGAGTACTGATGCTAACCCTCCCCTACCCATTATGCTCTTATTTTCAGCTGATCTGTTTCCAAAACTTTTCAAGATAGTAGACCTTTGAGGAATCAGAAAAAAAAAACAAAAAAAACTGGGCTGGTGTTTATAAAAGTTTGAGCTTTTTTACTAGCCTGGATTATCTTACATAGGGCAATTGCCTTGAGCTAGTGCCTAACAGTGCAGACTGTATTGCTCTTCTTCGTTCTTCTCTTGAGCAGTTAAAGTACGTTGCTTTCCTTTTTCCCATTCCATTCGTCTGTATGGTACATTTGCCATATTCCTTTAATTTCCACAGATCTGAACCTCCTGGACTGGGCCAAATCTGAAAAATTCACAAATTTTCCTGTTGAAAATATAGAGTCATTACTGTAATTTGTATTATTTCCACAGACTTGAACCTCCTGGACTGGTCCAGTCACAACCACCTGGCTCTGGCACTAGGGGGCAGTGTGTACCTGTGGAACGCTGGCAACAGCACCGTCACTCTGCTCTGCGAGCTGGAGAGTGAGGAGGAGTATATCTCGTGTGTCTCCTGGATCAAGGAGGGCAATATCCTGGCTGTTGGAAACAGTACGGGGGCAGTGCAAGTATGTTTCAGTATATATATATATATATATATATATATATATATATATGCCTTGCTTTATGAGGTAGAATCAGTCTCTTTGATTAAGGGATAATGTATGACTCAGGCTCGCCTTTTTCAAGGGTGAAAATTGTGAATGCTCAGATACTGTATTTTATTTTTAATTCATAAATTCTTAATATATGAACATTCTTGTTGAGTGGTAGCAACAAAAAACAGATAAACTGGTTACCATGTTAATTCTGTTCTTAACAGTTAAAAGCTACATCGAAATATGTTTTATTATTTTTTTGGTTTCAGTTGTGGGATGTCAGTCAGCAGAAGTTGATGAGAACCATGGGTGGACATGCTGCCAGGGTGGGTTCTCTGGCCTGGAACTCTTATATATTGTCAAGGTGAGTTCATGGGTGGACACGCTGCCAGGGTGGGTTCTCTGGCCTGGAACTCTTATATATTGTCAGGGTGAGTTGAAGACAGTGGGATTTAGGTAGCTTTTATCTGAGTATTTTATATTATTATTATTATTATTGTTATAATTAATATCATTATTTTTTATTGATTTATATTTTGTTGATAATGAATCTGGTGCTTTTAACTACATTAATGTCTGCGTAGTGGAGCATCGAGATGGCACCCCCACCTTGCACTCAAGGGTGTGGGCTCCAACCTGGGTGTGGTTCACCCACACTGCCAAAAAACCCCAAGCAACATATATTATTATAAAAAAGTAAAAGCTTTGTGTTTTCAGTGGCTGTAGATCTGGCGCCATTCACCACCATGACGTGCGTGTGGCGGACCACCAGGTGGGTACCCTGACCAGCCACGCCCAGGAGGTTTGTGGCCTGCAGTGGGCGCCAGATGGGAGGTACCTGGCCAGTGGTGGGAATGATAACCTGCTCAATGTGTGGGAGGGCATGGCAGAGGCACCTGTTCATTCATTTACACATCATATGGCTGCTGTCAAGGTGGGGCCGGCAGAGGATTACTGTAATTACCCTGAAGTTTTGAATTTGAATACCTCACACTTGATGTTGATCATAACTAAAAACTGCCTAAATGAATGAAATATTAACTGGTTCATTAAACCTGTAAATAGCCAAACTGAAAAATATTTATAGTGTTACCTCTGTGGGCAAGTTGAGATGAGATCTTGACAGATCTGTTAACAATATTTTTCAAAAATTAAGTAAGGATCAAACACAATGAATAGTTTCCAGTATATCTCCAGACTGGCAAAAATTTTATTTGAATGTCAGATTTCTTAGGGGCCATTTCAGGCTTAACAAACAAAATAATTATTTATTTTAACTTAGTCGAAATTTTCCCATTTAAGGCAGTGGCCTGGTGTCCATGGCAACCGTCAGTACTGGCCAGTGGAGGGGGCACGGCTGACCGCCACATCCGTCTCTGGAACGTCCTGACGGGAGCCTGCCTGCACAGTGTGGACACCAACTCCCAGGTGAGGATCTGATGGCGCATTCACACCCAAGTTGTGACCACCTAACTCGGTGCCCACTGTTTTAGCAGAACTGTTAGATCGCATTCACAATGAGTTGAGCCATGGCTTTACAAATCCTGGAACTAAATATGGCGGACGTACATGAAAGAAAAACCACCTAATCTTTTAATAGTCTCTCCACCTCTCACACGCCTCCCCATGCGATGTCCCTGCAGGGGTACAGTCATTAAATCTCGGCTCCATTGGGACGACATATGGGGAGGCGTGTGAGAGGCAGAGAGACTATTAAAAGATTAGGCGGTTTTTCTTTCATGTACATCCGCCATATTTAGTTCCAGGATTTGTAAAGCCATGGCTCAACTCGTTGTGAATGCGATCATAGATTACATTGTTTAAACTGTAGGTATATAGACATATATGGTACTCTTTACTAGAGACCAACAGGGTGTTGAGGAACATGAAGATCTTGTGCACAAATCCTCACAGAATAGGAATATGAGTGCAGTTTAAGCGAATAGCCAGTGAAATTTCTTTGAATACAAAATAAATTTCTATGTGGCCCTGGTAGAGGGTACATGTAGCCTGCTGGTATGTGACTTAATCTGTTATACAGCAGTGGTTGGTTCATGTAGTGCAATGAGATGAGAATGGATTTCTTTGGGTATGATTGTAATAACATGGTCCAGTGACATGTAACTTAATAAGTAAACAGCCAGAAAATATGAACTTCAAAGTAATATTAGATTGTCCAATCCATCATCCCTTATTTTATTTTAATAAATGTGTATGACTAATATTTTAACAGTAATTATCTGTGTTCTCATTGTTCAGGTTTGCTCCATACTCTGGTCCAGCAGTTACAAGGAGTTGATCTCTGGGCACGGCTTCTCACAGAACCAGCTCATCATATGGAAGTACCCTGCCATGGGGAGAGTTGCTGAACTCACAGGTAAGATGCACCCTGGGTGCCTCAGCATTGATAGTTGGTCTACTCTGCCTGTGTTAGTTGCTCAATCTCCTTGAGTTTCAGGGTCCTGGCAGGGAAGAATTTCATGAGGTTGCTTTCTCAAATATATTTTTTCTTAGAAAAGCAATGTCAATAGTATATTATTATTATTATTATTATTATTATTATTATTATTATTATTATTATTAAGTTGTAAACAGAAAGTGCTGAGAGTAAGCAATTTCTGCATTTTTTTTGTCAGTCTTATTTATTTATTTATTATGTTAATTATAATTCTAACTATTTCCCACAGGTCACACTGCCCGAGTTCTTGGCCTTGCCATGTCACCAGATGGCAGCACGGTGGCTAGTGCAGCTGCTGACGAGACCATACGACTGTGGCGCTGTTTTGAAATCGACAAGCAGAGAAAGTCGTCTAGTTCTAAATCGTTCAAAGAGCCAGTCACCAAGAGTGCCCTGCAGAGGGGCATCAGATAAAGAATGGATGCCAATACACCTCAGTAACTATAGATTTATCATTTATGATGCCATAAACAGTAGAATAATATACTCCTGTGAAAATAATTTATAATAATTTATGCTTAGAAGCCCCATATAGCATTGACAATCCTGACTAAAACAGTTGTGAACATCCTCATGAAGGTATTTGCTTTCTGCCTGCTTTGTGTCTTTGTTGATTCAGATGTAGGTGTATACAGTACATGCCAGTGCGTCCTCACATTTATATGTGGTTACCTTCTAGGGATGCATTAAGGATTTTGAATTTCGTGACTTTGCAAAGAGAAAAAATATATCTTAGAAATGCCATTTATTTATATAGGAGTAATTATCATCTTAAACAATATGATCAAATGCAAAATCCAGGTTTGTGTCTAAATGACCTTAAGTCTTAAAATGCTCTGCACAGAACATTTGACCAGTGACTTGACTGTAAATCATTAATATAAATTTAATAGAAATGAATGGAAAGACAAACGGCATTCTAATGAGAGAGTATTTTTTTGTCATTTTTATGTTTTAATTGCTATCATCATGTAATCATATTTGATATGCATAAGTAAATAAAGTTATTTTTGTTAAAATTTGGGTATTGCGTCATACAAAATGTATATGTAGGTATTTGTATGGCAGACAGGCCCAGCAATCTGAGACAGCGTGTCTGAAAGCAGTTAGACTTGGGATGACATGTGGAGGGATTCGGGGAGTGATGTACAGCCAAAGTAAAGATGGACCTTTATAAATATATTCCATATAATTATGAGATACTGAGAACAAAGTTAGAAAGTGTGTGTCTATCTGCGTGTGTGTGTGAGAGAGAGAGAGACAGGTATGGCCCCCTATTAGTTGGGGGTGCACTTGCAACTTTCCTTGCATCATCAACAACACTGTCTAGAGTTGTCTGTGTTTGCATGCATGCCCTTCTTCAATTTACTTTTTATTTTCAAATTCAGTAAATTGGGTAACAAATCTGAGATAACAAACTGAATCTTTGTCTAAAACTTGTTATTTCTGTACTATATAATAGTAGATTTTTTCTTCAGACTGTTCTTGTCATCTTGCAGAAGAAAGATAGTTTGGTATCCACAAGATCTGGCTGATTTTTTTTTTTTTTTTTTTTGTATTAGAAAAGGGGAATATGTTGTGCAACCAAACTGGAGTCACTTTTTGCAAAACTTTAAAATCAAAAAGTTTAAAGAAATAAAATTCCTTGTTTATTTATTCTGGGATAAAACTGAATTTATTTTTCAATTGGAATGGTCATGCAAACAAGGATTTTCAAATATTAACTGTTATCCATTCTTACTTCAATATTTATTATCATTAACTGTGACTATATTTTACTTTCTTTGTCAAACCTGAAGGAAATCTTGGTTAAAACCAACTGTATGTCATAGAGTGTTAACATTACTGCATGATTTATTAACATAGGGGTTGACATCACTCCTGCAGGGTTTCCTTGTCAAATAAGTACTCTCCAAGCCCTGGTCCTACACGCTTCGAATTGGTGATGTGGTCGCATATCGTCTTGATGAACGCCACCTCGTGGTGAAGGAATTCTGTTTCAATCCAGTTCTTCATCTGCAAAAGTTAATGCGCGTGATATGAGTGTCGTTGCAATTAATTGCAATAAAACAAAGATTTGAAACTAAATAGATATCTGCAAAAACAAAAATAGGCGGACGAACTCCCTACAATTGGGAGGATAGTATCGTCAATTGACTATTTATGCACATTTGGTCAAAGAAAAAAAAAAGGTAAAATCCCAAACGCGATCACCGTTTTCTACAAATAACCATAAATACATATCCGATTTTCTTTTCAAAGAGAAATCGCAAAAAGCTGTACTTCGGCATCCTCAAATTTGGTCGCCGTTTTATGTGCGTCTAACCAGCTTTGGTTGAGGATCCTTTCGAGCCCCAGAGCGGCCTCCATAGCATTCAATCCATTACTGAGTTTAAAATCTGGTGCCTGCAAAATAATGAAAATAATTTTATGACAAAAATGGATAAAATGTGCAATTTAAATTGCGCTGCAACAGCAACGTTTCAGTGTTTCAAGAATATAAAATGGCTGAGAAATGCTACTTCCCACTAATTTTTAAAACTCGGAGAGTTAACCGCCTGCTTCCTTTTATTAACAGATTAACAAATACAAATAAACGCTCTGCTGTTTTGGTAGTTCATCTACTCATTTTCGAGTTCTACAAACAATATACGTCCGCGACTCCTCACAGTTTCCAAGATCGTTTGCGAGAAATCTGAAGTTCAGGACGAAATTTAAATAGCTAGTTGATCTCTATGATTTTCTTAAGTCCATCTCTTACCCTAGATATGACTATAGATAATATGAACAAACTGGTCATGAGAAAGGATGGCAGATATTATTAGGAAAATTACCAAAAGCCAGTGATAATAAAATAACCGTCTATTTATCTAAAGACATATCTGTGAATATCTTGTGAAAAATCAATCTGCAGCCCTGGTAGAGGGTATGAGAGAGGTGCCTTTTTACTAGAAGACGCGCATTCGTACCTTAATGTCCTTCAGCACTATCCGCCCTCCGCGAGTGTTCTGGTAATGTGAGAGCTTACCAGCATGGTTCCTCTTCTCGTCTGACGCTTCTTTGAAAAATTTGAAGAATCCCTTCAGATCGTCATCAAAATGCCACGCCTAGTAAAATGAAAAAAAAAAAGCACACATTTTATATTATCTTTGCAAAAAAGTTCCCCGAAGTCTTCGTTAGTCTACGTTTTAGTCCGTTTATTTTATTTCAAAAAGGCGCAATGACTACACGTAACAAACCAATACAAACAGACTGTGGTATCTCTGGAGTGGACGGGGGGGAGGGGGGGGAGCTTAGTCGTTTCTTTTATTCATTTATTCCTTTTAAATAGAATTTGTTCAAGAAATGTTCGTTTGGAAAACCCTCTCATAATCAGCGTGTGTCAAATAATTACTTTAAACATTAGCCTCACGAGGGAAGCCCATGTTGAGAAAAAAAATCTTATATAACAGCTTTCACAAGGAGAGTGACCCACCCAACTGCTTTCCCGCTTGTCTGATATATGTTATTATTTTGATATCTATGAAGCTTATATAATAGCTTTCACAAGGAAGGCAAAGGTATTTGTGACGCCAGATATTACCTCTTGTCGCAATGAGCGCATAGCACTTTGTGAAAGGGATCAACGCACGTGAGAGTGACCCATCAAGCTATTTTCCCTCTTTGTTTAGAATTTGTTTAAGAAATGTGGTTCGTTTGGAAAACCCTCTAATAATCAGCGTGTGCCAAATAATTACTTTAAACATTAGCCTCACGATGGAAGCCCATGTAGAGAAAACAACCTTATATAACAGCTTTCACAAGGAAGACAAACGCATTTGTGGCGTCATATATTAATCTCTTGTTGCATTGAGCACCCAGCGCTCTGTGAAAGGATCGGTGCAGGTCAAAGTGCCCCACCAAACTGTTTTTCCGCTTGACTGATATATATATATATATATATATATATATATATATATATATATATATATATATATATCAGTCAAGCGGAAAAACATATATTATATATTATATAATTATTTTAATATCTATGAAATGGATCGGTGCAGGTCACAGTGCCCCACCAAACTGCTTCCCCGCTTTCTGATATATATAATTATTTTCATATCTATGAAATGGATCGGTGCAAGTAAGAATGCCCCACCAAACTGTTTTTCCGCTTGACTGATAGATATATATAATTATTTTGATATCTATGAAATAGATCAGTGCAGGTCAGAGTGACCCACCCAACTGCTTTCCCGCTTGTCTGATATATGTTATTATTTTGATATCTATGAAGCTTATATAATAGCTTTCACAAGGAAGGCAAACGTATTTGTGACGCCAAATATTACCTCTTGTCGCAATGAGCGCATAGCACTTTTTGAAACGGATCAACGCACGTGAGAGTGACCCATCAAGCTATTTTCCCTCTTTGTTTAGAATTTGTTTAAGAAATGTCGTTCGTTTGGAAAACCCTCTAATAATCAGCGTGTGCCAAATAATTACTTTAAACATTAGCCTCACGATGGAAGCCCATGTAGAGAAAACAACCTTATATAACAGCTTTCACAAGGAAGACAAACGCATTTGTGGCGTCATATATTAATCTCTTGTTGCATTGAGCACCCAGCGCTCTGTGAAAGGATCGGTGCAGGTCAAAGTGCCCCACCAAACTGTTTTTCCGCTTGACTGATATATATAATTATTTTCATATCTATGAAATGGATCGGTGCAAGTAAGAATGCCCCACCAAACTGTTTTTCCGCTTGACTGATAGATATATATAATTATTTTGATATCTATGAAATAGATCAGTGCAGGTCAGAGTGACCCACCCAACTGCTTTCCCGCTTGTCTGATATATGTTATTATTTTGATATCTATGAAGCTTATATAATAGCTTTCACAAGGAAGGCAAAGGTATTTGTGACGCCAAATATTACCTCTTGTCGCAATGAGCGCATAGCACTTTTTGAAACGGATCAACGCACGTGAGAGTGACCCATCAAGCTATTTTCCCTCTTGACTACTGTTGCCTTCGATGGATGAAGCGTCAGTTTCAGCGAAACTTGCTCTGTATTCTACCTAAGCCGGTGCATGTACAAATCAGCATTATCACTGCCGCAAAGTGAAAGCTTATGGAGGCAAATTTTATTTTAATTTGAAAATACACAACTTCTGTGCATCCCACAAGACTTTTGTTTGTTTGATATAAATGTATTTTACTGGTACCAAGACCAGTGGATTTTCCCCGAGTCTGGTAACTAACGGTTTTCACTAAATACCTTTACCCCATGTTATGCTGAGGACTTCTCCATCAAGGTCTGAGCTATATGCAATTATACAGATTATAGACTAATCCCTGCTGTAGCAGAAGGTGCAGTAGGGGGTGTACACAAACATAAGCTGAATAGTGGTGTATATACTGCATATAAAAGCGTATATATTCAGCTGTAGATATATATATATAATTTGTAAACCCTGAGATTCTGATTACAGACATGTAAGCCTCTTGAGCTGATAGCAATTTCGCGTGAACCCCAGGGAGTTAGGTCGATCCAGATGAATCGATCTAAATCAGTGGGAATGCAGTCTAAGGTTTCATGTGTAAATAGAAGCCGTATATTTTGATAGGCACTGGGCAGTGTAGCCTCGAATGCCATTTGTATGTTCTGGTAATATTGAATACCTCCTACCAGTAGGAGCAATAACTTTCTGAGCTCACTTTGGAATATTTTTTAATTTCAGTCAAAAAAAAAATAAATAAAATAAAATTGCGAAGAGCTGTATTAAATCTCAACAGACCAAGTGCATAACTCACGGTCCAAACATTTTTAGACAAAGGAAAACACTACAAGCATTTGGGGAAATCTTCATGTGTTAATTAGCGATTTTAGCGACTTTGCAAAATCTTGCATACTCCACTTACCAAGGACTGGTAGGCGTAACTGGCATGAAGGCAGGCGTTGATCAACTTGTTGACGCAGGCTTCGCTTTCCTCGTGGTAGTTCTGGCGACACAGCGACATAGTGATTATAGCACGGAATAGAACCAATTAAGTTTCTACTGCTAGTAAATTAGCAAATCAAGAAATCGGTATTCAGCTGGATAGTGTACAGGAAACAATTAGTATGTGATGGAGCTGGTGTCCGTCTGCTCACTGGCGCTGCAAGACGCACAACTACGGTCCCCTCGTTGAGCAGATAAATATAAAGGTGCTAGGAGTTCCCGTAGTTCACTCGGACGTCCAGCCGAGCACGTGTTTTGCTGGCCTATTTACCAGACCGTGACCCCGGTCACTGCTGTACTGACCTCAATGATCCGAATGGCCAGTTTTTTCTTTTTTTGTTTTTTTTTATTACTATGGTGACGCGGTCATGGTTGAACGCGAGAGAAAAATTTGAGATTAGAAACACATCTGACATATTAAATAACCTGGTAGAATATTTTATTTTATATAATTTCATTCGTTAATTGTTTTACATATATTCATTTACCTATTTCTAAATTTATATCGATTGTTTTGTCTGTTTTTTAGAAACTTTTTGCAAGTAAAGGAAGAATGGAAACAATGAAAAAAAAAAGAAAGAAAGAAAGAAAACCTAACAAGCCACGCAAGATTAGATCATTCAATTATACGCAGTACATGCTGATTTTCTATAGATACAGAAAATTATCACTACCAGAAAAAAACTCGTCCAGGTTATGCAACAATTGACGTATGACCTAATTATCGTAAAGTACTAGACATACGAGAGTGCACGGTAATACACTAGCTGCCTTTTGTTAGAATTTTGATAATATATACTGGTAATAATGTGGTATATGAGAATTTAATTTTTTTGTTTTTCCATGCAACGACGTACGGCAGTGTTATACAAATCATCTTCACCCTTAAATTCAAATCTAAATCACGGAAGAGAAGCCAACGTATTTTAGGAACGAAAGTCTCTCCAAACTAAAAAAATTTAGAAAACAAATGTCTACCCATTTAAAGCTGACAGAGAAGTGAGGCCTATTAACGATTCTAAAACGGTGGAAATTATTCGGCCTAATTATTGTCATTAGCCTCTTTTGATATATCTTTCCCTTCAAAAACGATTATCACACCTGATCATGAGATAGTTTCGGTAATTTAGTGCAAGCCAGTCCCAGGTCCTTGGAAGCGTTATGTAACCTGCGGTGGCCCACAAGTGCACTCCAAATTCCAAACGACTCTCCCAATTCTAAACCTCACTCCGAATATTTAAACTTCACTCTCAATTCTTAAACCTCACTCCGAATATTTAAACTTCACTCTCAATTCTTAAACCTCACTCCGAATATTTAAACTTCACTCTCAATTCTTAAACCTCACTCCGAATTCGTAAACCCCACTCCGAATTCGCAAACCTCACTCCGAATTCGCAAACCTCACTCCGAATTCGTAAACCTCACTCCGAATTCGTAAACCTCACTCCGAATTGAAAAAGCTCACTCCGAATTCGTAAACCTCACTCCGAATTCGTAAACCTCACTCCGAATTCAAAAAGCTCACTCCGAATTCCACTGATAATAACTCATCAGACTAACGTTAATCTTAGCTCCGATGCACATTTTAAGTACTTTCATAAGTTGTTTAATTGTGAAACATTGTTTAATGATAACAACTTAATTAGTTGCAAACACTTTGCTTTGTGTAATAAATTATTTGATGTATTTCTGCCTAATCGTTCTGTAGCAAAGAAAGTTTTAAATTCTAAAAAGATTAAAATGAAATTCAATCTCGATATCATCTAAAATACATAGTTTACAGGTTCTTAATTTTTGTGTCTGTTTACCTTCCAGTTTCTGCAGCTAGATTATGTGATGAAAGTCTTAAATTGGCGATTAATTCCTTACATTTCTGTGAAATTGGCTTATCTGAATAGAATTGCACTGCAAAATTATCAACAAGATGTTGGTACAGTAGGCCTTTACTCCTTGTGGATATTTCTCCAGTCAATGTTTGTCTAAAATTATCTTTCAATCTTTACTCTCTCAAGGACGGTATAAAATTATCTAACATATTTTCGAGAAAAATTTAAAGACAAGCCAAGTGTTTCCAGTTCATTCTGTATTCAAATTACCCAATCAAAAGTTTTTGTTAGTGTATGGACTGAGTGCTGACTCTTCAAAATTCGAGAAATGGATTTTACGTGACTAGAATCCTTTAATCCTTTATAAGTTGAGGCAGCGAGACCCCAGCTTCAAGCATGCACTCAGATGTAGGCTAAAGATAGAGAACCCTGGGAGATCGTCCAAGGGCGCATTCAGAACACGTTGATCCGTGGACTAACGGATCCGCGGGTCAAATATGGCAGACCCACTTGAAACCTTGTCGCATAATCCTCTAATAGATACCGAATAGATTCTCCGCGGGGATAACGTGGTAAGTTTTCAAGTGGGTCGGACATATTTGATCCGAGGATATGTTAGTCCGCGGGTCTACAAGTCATCCTAAAAATCGGTAACCAACCACGGTTACGTAAGGAAATGCCGTCCCGTTTGTTTAAGCTGACTGAATTATAAAAAATTGCAAAATAAATAAATAAATAAACAAATAAATAAATATCAAGCCTCTTCAAACTAAGCCTTAAGGAATTGCAACCTAAATCGAAAACATATATATGAAAATTAAAATAATAACTATTTAAAACAACCAATAACCTCAATCATACTACAGTGTACTTCTTTTAACAAAAAAAAAAAAAAAAAAAGGCTTTGTCTATATAAGCCAATGGCGAAAGCATCAAACAATAGAATTTTTCAGGGTGAATGAATTCAACCTTTATTTGGCCCGGGTTTGCTAAAGAGAGCTGAACGTTATCTAACTGTGATTCGTAAACAATAGCATTAAGAACTGTGAAATCAATTCAAAGTCACGAACGCGCAATTAATGGTCTGTAAAGTGACCGATCGAAGAGGTGTTTATGTTGATCTCAAACCCAGCGAATTTTGCATAATTTATTTTATTTATTTATTTATTTATTTATTTATTATTATTATTATTAAGGGCCTCCCTTTTTTCAAGTGATGAATAAGGGACGTTAGATGCATTTTCACCATGTTCGTAAATGGAAAAAAATGTCTTTTTTTAACTTTCAGTGAATTCCTTTACACACTGAAATGTTAATCTTTTTTAAAACTGATAACAGTTATGCGTTCAAACGAAGTATTTCAATTAAATATCGACTTAGCCACTGAAAAGAAATTCAAAACGCCAATGAGGTTTTAAAAGCTTTAATGAACGGAACACTTAATCAATGGAGAGATTTAATAGGGTACAATGATCATTATACCGTGACGCGGATCAGTGTTTTTAAGTATATTTCGTCAGTTCGTATTGGCCTAATCGGGATCTTCCACAAGACGCTCTCAAACCTACAGATTGCCTGAAAACTACTTGGACCGGCAATTAAAATCAAATCCTTGGGAGAAAATGTGACGTCAAGATTGTCAATTTCGTTGCAAGATCTGGCTAAATCACTCACTTGATTTTTAGCGTAAGCTTTACTTTTCAGTTCGCATTTATGATCAACTCATTCACATTAAGATCGCAGTAAGAAATGCGTTCAGCCGTCGTCTGCTTCTGTGAATGGTCGGTTCGGGGTCTTCATTTAATCTTGCAGGGTCTCCTTGTCAAACATGTACTCTCCAAGACCTGGTCCATTGCGCTTCAGATTGGTGATGTGATCGCAGATTTTCTTGATGAATTCCACTTCATGGTGAAGGAATTCGGTCTCGATCCAGTTGGTCATCTGAAAAGGATAACATATAAATGATCAATTCAAAGCATAAGAGGCGCAATATAGGCGACAAAAAATCCATAATAACGACTTCTGTTTGCTTCTCGATAACCATTTCCAAATGTTAAACTTAATATTTTTTCATTTTAAAAAGCGCGAGCAAAGAAGTGTCATAAATTAGCCATTAAGACACGTATCTGTGAATATCTAGTAAAAATCAATCTGTGACCCCGGCAGAGGGTAACAATGAATACCGTGGAGCAGAATTGTGAGGAAACTTTACCTCTGGATCCACGTGGCTCTGTGCGATCTTGTGCAGGTCCAGCCAGGCCTGGTTAACGTTCTTCTCCAAGGCCAGGACAGCCTTCATGGCGTTGGCGCCATCACCCCACTCGTCAAGGTCGGGTTTCTGTGAAATGAGAAAAATGATGATAATAAAGGGAATGAGTAAATAAACGGAAATATATATTATCCACTAGTTATTTCCCATAAGTGTTGTTCTTCTTTCTCTCATAGAACCTGGAAATGTCAAAGATTTTAAGAGCAACTGTAGTTTATCATTCAAAATTTACAGAAAATGTTTTAAGAAACAAAAGAAAACAGAAGGAAGAAAAGAAGATACCAAATGCTTTCAAACTGTGTTTTCAAGATTTTAAGAACAAAGAACCAAAAATCGCATAACATCATGAAAAATTAAAAATCTGCGTGCAGAGTACCTTAATGTCTTGCAGCACTACCCGTCCCCCGCGCTGATTCTGGAACTTCATGAGCTTGCAGGCGTGCTCCCTTTTCTCCCCAGACGCCTCCTTGAAGAACTCGTGGAATCCTTTCAGAGCCACGTCGTCGCGGTCGAAGTGCCATGCCTGACGACGGAAAGAAAATGAATATGAGTTCATGTTAAAAGGGACGAAGGCGAATAAACTTTTCAAAAGTTGCTTAGACCATCTGCATTGTGTTTTGGTGAAGACAAATTAATGCTTACTTAAATTACAAAATTCAAGATAATATAATTCAGAAATAACGAAAAAAGACAAAACTGGATTTTTTGTTTAAAAAAATCTAGGTAAGTCTCAGAATACAATACCGTATTGCTAACACCAACAAATATTCAGTTTCGTATTACTGTATATCCACCTTCCACTAATTAAAATAAAATAGAATCAATAGTAAAAAGGAAATTGGAAAAAAAACTTTTCAAGACACTCTTTGACCGTTCCCACTTTTCACTTTTTTCCCAGGCCTCAGCTTGTCACATGACGTTTATATAAAGACCTTCCTGTCGGTGACACAGCGCGTGTTTTAGACACCCCGCGTTGTTGATCAGGTGTCACAGGAAAGAGAACATGATTCATTCAGATAACGCAATCTTGGACCGTATCCTTTTCACTAAGTACACAGTTATGTAAACGGTAAAGAGGGGATATTATTCAGGGGCGTAACCAGACCTTTAAAAATTGTACGCACAGATATTTAAAATTCCCAGCAAAATGTCGACTAACGCAAGAGATGAAGGACGGCGTAATTACAGCATATCAGGGCCGTAGCCTGAGCAAAATGCCAGGGGGGGCAGTAAGCGGACACGAGGGTGTGGAAAAAAATTTTAAACTGTATGTATAATACTGCATTCTGGTGCATTTTAACTGTTCTTTATTGCTCAATCAGAAGTCAGAAATTGTGGGTTCGTTTTGCCATAAGTACAGTCATTTTTTCAACACAACACGCCAATTGAACTTCATTTCCTAAGGGAGGGTGAGCATTTTAGCATGAACTGAGTTGGCTAAAAACAGTACACCTTTGTAAACAGATTGTTGAATGATTGTCTAGTGGCCATGAGTGCATTTTCTCACAGAATTGAAACCAACTTTGCAATTATTTTTTTTTTACCTCTGCGATTATTATTATTATTATTTTTTTTTTTGCACCTCAATTCCAAGGGGGGCAGCTGCCCCCACCGGAGGCTACGGCCCTGCATGTGTACCACACATCGCAGCTTAATTTCCATTAATAATAAAATCATCATTTAGACAGAAATATTCTCGCAATTAAAAAAGTTTCAATATTCGTATTACCCAGAACGGTATATTTATTTAAAAAGAGGCTAGCTTCGCATATGTGGAACCCCCTTCGAAAAATCCTGGAACCACCTCTGAGTTGAACTAACATAAGGTTTCATTCACCATACATGTGGATGCATGGCTCCCAAAACCAACCAAGACACGACAGAGCTCTGATAAATCTAAGTTTAATTATTTGTTTGTAAAAATCGCCCATGTCACCCTGTTAGTTTGGAGGGGCAAGCTGGGTCAAGTCCGTGTCAAAATTCTTTGAAGTTTTGCAGGAAAAAATCTTCCTTTGTTTCTCTAGATCCTTCTTAAACCTGGTGTCCAGATTTTATCTAGTGCCCCCAGGGTTGCGGGATCGAGCTGCTCTTTGAAAATAACACTCAAGCAGATTTTTACCTGAGATAAATATCGCCAGTGAGAATGCGCTTGATATTCTGAAGAAAGATTGTACAGAAGAGTTGAGGGCCACCGAACCCTCCAATTAAGAGGTAAAGGAAGTTCCAGTTAGATGGACGATTAAGATAGGACTTGTTAAGGTTACAGGCATTGTTAACCTCAGTTTGCAAGACGGGGAGGGGGGGGTCAGAACAATTGTGCCTATACAATTGATACAGAGGATTTGTACATAAGATAAGATAAGATAAGATAAGATAAGATAAGAGTTTATTTAGCCAATTATAAAAATCGGAAATCATTTTCCTTTTGGAGCAATATACAGAGTAAAATAATAAAATAATACAATAAATAAATAAATTAAGAATTTAGTTTTGAGATCAAATTAAAATGCGTCACTGCACTTGGATAAAAGCTGTTTAAAAAGCGTTTACTGCCTTTAAAAGTTAAAAGTCTACTGTTGCTTGGTAAAAAAGTAAAAAGAGATGTTGCAGGATGGAAAGAGTCTTTCATGGTGTTGACAATTCTTTTCTCCATCCTGTCTTTAAAAATATCATCCAGCTTGGGGAGATCGTGCCCAATAATCCTGCTTGCAGTTTTTACAACGTTTGTTAATTTCTTTCTTTCCTCATACATACATACAGGTGGCTTTAATAAGCAGAGGATTTTCTTTTATATTCCGTGAAAAATACACTAAATTTATATAAAATAATATCATGTTTGGCTAAAAAAATTGTACGCACAGTGCATCCGTGCGTATGCCTAGTTACGCCCATGTTATTTGATGCCATCGGAAATTTGCCCTCTGCCCTCTGTGCAGTGTACCTGATTGCCTGCCATCAACTACACATATTTGATTTATTTTTCTTTTAAGTTTCCAGGTTTCGCGTTTCTTTCTTTAGTGGGCGAGAGATTATGGTTAATGGTTTCTGACGCTTTTTAAACATTTTTCATGTTCAATATTTTGATTGAAAAATCGCCCCGGCTGCCTTTAATCCATTCTACGCTTTGACTTTCTCACTTTTTTTTCTTATCTCCTCTTTAAATAAGATACGCTGTCATATTTCCGTCGCTTTTCAGATAACGCACGAAACGACCATGGGGTTACATGATATTTCGCATGCGTCATTAATTCTGGGTCTTGAAACTTAGTCAAGGCCAGAAAAAATCAACTACGCACAAAACAGTGAAACTGAGAGTCGAAAAGCTCGCTGCTATATAGGGGGCCGGGGCTGGGGGTTACGTTTACATGGCGGCGAAGTGTTTTTATATTCTCTTCGATGTCACTATCCTGTAATAACATTTTTGGTAATATTTGGAGATTCCACTACTATTTTAAAATTTGTCAAAATATTTTGTCTGGATTGGTATTCGAACTCAATGATAACTGCGCGCGCCAAGTTTTCGCCTTACTTTGCCATTCAACAGTTTGCCATTTTTCTACTGCACATCTTATTTTCCTTTACCTTTATTATTTAACAACAAAGGCTATCAAACCCTAATAATCCTGCAATAGCTGACGGGACCAGGATTTGCTAAGGAACACAAAAATAATTCTTGGAGAGCGAAGCAGGTCAAATGATATAGGTAGCGAGAACAATATTACTGCAATATGTAGGACATAGGACCAGAAAATTTAGCAAACATTGAGCAAACAAAATGGAGGGAATCGAAGAGGTATATATAACATTATTGAGGTACAATCAGTTGGAACTTGCACCTCATCGTAGTCACCATTAAAAGGAAACCATTTGAGTCTGTTTCTTACCTAAGCTTGATAATAAAAGGGAATACGGTTGGTAGAAAACCTGCAGGAATTCATTTTAAAGACCTGCACGACCAAAAAACAAAAGGCCAGACCAACATTTAATACCACTTTCAACTAACAATCTAACCAGCAGACGCTGTTTTTAATCGTACTCACCAAGGAATGGTAGACGTAACTGGCATAGTAATTCAGATTAATCTGCTTGTTGACGCCTGCCTCGCTTTCTGAATGATAGTTCTGACGGGGAAGAGACAATGCCATGGTGCCGTCGATGGAGAACGCTCTTCACGATGCTAAGACAAAATATTGCTTTAAAAAATCACTGATTGATTTTCAAGATTTTTGGAGGGAAAACAGTCGCTCAATCCGTACGTACACTGACGTCCCAAGAGTTGAGTCGACTAAAGTTGCTAGCTAGTATGTCGCACGCTAGCCCCGACGCTGCTTTTATAGTCACCGTGACCTCATCGCCACGTGACATTATGACACTAATTGACTGTGCATTTTTAACGTTCCTTGGGTCAGAAACAAGCCAAATAAAAAAGTAACGTGCCCAAAATATCCATGAATTATTTACGTCCCTAATTACCATCAAAACAACAACAAAATAAAGCCAACAGCTGGTTGAGTAATTACGCGCAACATATCGTTCTTTATCACGAGTTGCACTCTCTTGCTCTTTGCCCATCTGGGTTTAGTTGAGTCAAACAAAACTGTTTACATACCCTTGGTAGAATAATTGGGTTAATTCCGTTGCAGATCTCAAGGGCACCGTTAACAGCAAAAGAACGAATTTATTTGCATAAAAAAAAAAGGAATTTTGTTTTTGATTCGTTTTAAATGTCTTAGATAATACGTCTTGTTGTAAAGATTTAAAAAAAAAACTTTATCAGCGGTTGAAATGCATCGAAACTCAAATACGCGCGCAGGAACACTGTCCTCCACTATGACCATAGATTGCATTTGGTCTGACTGAAATTTAAAAAAAAAAATCCAACCAGGCCGTGAATTTAGATATTATACTGAACCGGGAATGCAAAAAATAAATAATAATAATAATAATATAAAAAGGGAAAGTACACGGGGCTTTTTCGATATAATTTTTTTTTAATTCTAGGTCTTCCAGTTTATTTCTGAAAAAGTTATATTGTTCGTTTCATCTCAAGCCTGATGTTTTGAGTGAATAATTGTACGAGCGATGTTAAGCAACTTAAAAGCAAACGAAATAAATAAAAAAATATGAAAATAATTTACAAGAAAAGTCATTTTCACAAAGTAATGTTAGCTTTATTGACACAATTCATTTGTTTTTTCTTTAATTCAATAACTTGTAATTAAAAAAAGGTTAATTTTTTTTTCATTATCAAATAAATCTTTTGCACTGGTATTTATTTTAAACAGTGAGTACAACACATGGACGTCTCTTGGATCTGGACATCCTATAATCATTTCATTACCATTTCTTTCGAATATTTTAAAATAAAAATAGTTTCATTACTTGTGGTCTTTTTTAACCAAGAACAACATGCAATCAATCTGGAATACAACAGTAATATGAATAGTAACTACTGTTTAAATAATGCAAAACTGAGAAATAACTAATCCTGCTCTTACAAAATATAAAGCTTTTTAGAGAATATCTTTTAATATAACTTATCGAAGTAAGAGAAATACAAATCCTTTCAAAAAGTTTTTCTTTCCATGAGTTCTTCTAAAAAATCGGCCTTCTTAGAAAATTTTTGTAAATCTGCCCTTAATTTGATTAGCAATGCAAAATATATACAGTCATTTCTTAATCGTACAATTGTGGTCAGGAAAATAAAACCTATCCATTTATTTGCACTCCCCCCCCCCTTAACTCAAAAGTAGCCCTACACAATCTAACTAATGACAATAAACAAAATATAAACTATAAAGAAGAGAATGATGTCCAAATCATGTTAAGTCGGTATCTTTGCAGTTTGTTAGACACGTAGCCATTGTAAAATTCACCGGCAGTTTTTACAGAATAAGATCTTTTCGGTTTAAAATGACTCCTCTCCTTATCTTTCACTTCTGCAATATTCCATAAGATATCAAAGGGGTGCATTCAGATTCACACATCTTACTAGCTGGGTGGGTCCAACTGTGCAGGAGATTTTCGCTTTAAGTGCAATCAGTGGAATCAACTTAAACTGCACTTGATACTTAATCACCTTCTAGCTGCTCAAGGAGGCGTGTCAGGCAATAAAGCTTATACCACTGATTGAACTTTAGCAAGTTGGACTGATCCAGCTAGTATGATGTGTGAATCTGAATGCGGTCAAACACAGCCTTTCTTCAGTTCACTTAGGTATAACCCTTATAAAATACGGATTTCATCTGCAAGCAACATTGTATAATAACATAATATCAGCTAGAGGTGACATTTTGCACACTTCCACGCAAAACAACTGGCAAGATCTCAGATTTTTCATTATGCAGTCCACTTTTACCAGTATTATTATATAGGCTCTCTGTTTGTCTTGGAGCCAATATGATTCGTTATTGCAGATAATCGTCTCCCATGAAGTGGAAAAAATACCTTTTTAGATGATGGTTTCCATTCCTATTTGTGGAATGACTTGCTATGTTCATACCAAAAACAAAACTTGTGGTCCCTTAGACTAGGATGGCTCAAAATGATCTCAGGTTCCCATTTTTATATCTTACAATTTTCAATCATACACAGAAGCCAATGATACAGACAACTGCTCAAATAACCTTTGCAGAACTTCGTCTCAAAGTTCAAATTGGCTATACTGCCGCCAGTGCTTGATACTGTATCTCATCACTAGGTAAATAATAATTCAAACATTTTCACACCTTGGCTAAAAATACAGTGTCTTATCTTGGGTATTTTCGTCCGCTTGATCATGAGTCTTCCTCGAGTAAAATCATGAGCATATGGATACTTCAGGTAAAAATGAATATGCAGCCAATCTAACGACTAGCACCATCAATCAGATTATGAGCATATGGATACTTGAGGAAAAAAATGAACATGCAGATGCAGTCAATGTGAAGACCCCATTCCCGCAGATTTTAGATTGATCTATCCCTGTGGGGAGTCTCACTAGATTACTGTCAGCTTAGCCGGCTTAAATGTCTGTCCTGTCTACTAAAAGCTACAAGGGTGTTATTAACTACCGTGCGCGCTCAGCTGACTGCAATTTAGCGTGAACCCTCAGGAAGTTAGATCGATCTTGATGGATCGATCTAAATCTAAGGGAATGCAGTCTTGGACTAGCTTCATTACTAAATTTGTACAATGAGTAAAAAAACTTTTCCACATGTTACTACAACACCAGTAGAAGAAAAAGAAAAAAAAATTAATTTGGGAAAAGTAAATAAAAGCAGTAATGCCTTCCATCAATACTCAGATTCAGAATTCAGATTTTCCCTACATCTCTTCAAAGTTTTCAACTAGGTTATTCCAAGAGGATCTGAATGGCATCTAATTTTTTTTAAATTTAAATAAGGGAACACCCCTCACTTTAATAACCTCCTCCTGTGCTAGCTGAATTTTTGTCATAGCAAGATTGTGAAATAATTCATTCAAACCCAAATCATTTTTTGCAGCAAAAAACAATTTTCCTATGCCCAAGACTGAAAATAACATCCTTGGACAAAAGATAACAGCATCAGTCCTCTAACTGCTTTGAACACAACTCTCAGATCTATTATATATATATACAGGTACAAGTATGCTTTGAGTACAACAAAGATATTTTACTGAAGGTGGAATAAAAATATGTCATAGTGGTGGTCATTTCTTCCTTCTGTGGGCTGAAATGATGACTCCGGTCAGTAGAAAGAGACTTCTTCTCCTTAAGTTTCTGACCCGTCTGGTAACTATTGGAACAGCCTAGTATCCCTGAGGGGAAAAAAATGAAAACTAAATAAGAATTCTATAAAGAATTTTTTCTGAAGGCACACGATCAGCTTTAGACTTCTTTATGTCAAAAAAATTAATTTTCCTGGAAATTTCCACTCTTTGTAATTAAATTTACGAACAAAGTGTACCACATACAAAACCATGTTTTTGAGTTCTGAGTTTCTAGCTGTTTACTGACTTGTAATAAAGAAAGAATCTGGTGAATCTCAGTTAGAAAAAAATTAAAACTATACACCTAGAAAACAAGGGCCGGTTTCATCAAGGCTGGATAGGCTATCCTGTGGATAACACTATCTATGGTATAAATCTCTTATTCTCTGGATAGTTATCCTCTGTGTAAATTTGTGTTTCATAAAAGCTGGATAAAGAGCATGATAGTAATACAATGGATAAAAATTTATCCAATACCATATTTGGAAAAAGACATTCCCATAATGCAGTTGGTTGCTATAAACATTATAAAAGCCATGATAGTTGCTAACAAAAAGTGGTCTATACCATATTTGGAAAATAAATAACCCATAATAAACAATATTCTAAGTATATTTCAAGATGGTACATTCATTAAAATAATGGGGAAAATATCTACAGGATATTTTAGTGTCAGTGTGGATAACACATCACATTGCATTAGTTGTGCCTCATGCAATGTTTACACAGATTACACAGTTGAAGGGCAAGGTCGTGACATACTTTCTAACAAAATGGCTGATTTGGCACATTTGGCAGATTCTGTCAATAGCAGTGTAGACATTTTTCGTCGATTTAAAAGGTGTTTTAGTAAAATAAAGATAATTGGTCTCTCAGGGAGATTGCATGGATTTTGTTCGTAGCAGGCGCGATGTCAACTTTGATAAAGTCTGTTATGTAATCTATTGATTCAGCATCACTTAAATCATCAAAAGCAAACAATAATCTTCTAAAATTCTCTTTCTAATCATTCTACGCCTGTGAAATCTCATAGGATTTACTTCCAAAGCAAACAGGTTCGCCATTTTTGATGATTTAACAGCATGATAGCAGATTTATCCCACCTATTTCGAGCGGACAACTTTATCCTCTGGATAAGCTGATTTATCCTCTGGATAACGCTATCCACTGTTGATGAAACGCACTATCCTCTGGACAGCTCTATCCAGAGGATAGCGGCCATTTTTAGCCATAGGATAGCGCTATCCAGCCTTGATGAAACCGGGCCCAGGTTTATAAATTGTAGTTTTCACTTTGGCTTAGGGTGATAAAAGTGAAAACAGCTAAAACTTCCAGGAAAATTATCATTTTTTTCTTTTTAGCTCCATTAAGGTGTAACATATAAATATTAGGCCTTAAATTTAACTTAGACTTGAAAATATCTGGGTTTTTAGACCTAATCTTTATGGAAGATACTGCTGTAAAATAGCAGTACTTACTGTCCAAAGGTGTAAGTCAGGTCTGGCTGGCAAGAAGGTATTTTACAAAATTTTCACCCCCTTCCCCTATATTTCTCTTTTTGTTTTATCAAAATTTTACAGGGTAATCCACAAATAAACTGTTTTCATTGAGTAGGCATAATTAACTGAAAATTTTGCTGAAAGTACATGGCTTAAACAAAAGAAAAAAATAATAATACAATAATGTTATGAGCATAAAACTGAAAATCTTTTTAGAAATGACAATCTGAGGAATTCATTAAAACTTTTGAGTTTATTTCTAATCTGATTTACGTTCAAACAAGTAAAAATATTAAAAATGCAGTATCCATATAACAAACACTGCACATAATAAATACTTACATAACCACCTTGTTGGCCGTAGCCACCACCTCCACCGTACGAGTCTCCGTATCCCCCACTGCGTCCACCACCATAATTGTCACGTCCGCCACCATAGTTGTCACGTCCGCCACCATAGCCACCGCCTCCGTAGCTACCACCTCCGTAACCTCCACCTCCTCCGTAGTCATCACGATCACGTCCATAACCACTGCGTCCCCCTCCGTAACCGCCTCCCCCGCGTCCATAACCACCCCCGTAGCCTCCTCTTCCTCTGCCACTAATAACAAGATGTATGATTAAATAAAACATTTTTCCACTCATTGTTTTGGTGAGCACGACATGGTACTAGTAACAGTTTTTAAGAGAAATTGAAAGAAAAAAAAATCTCCTTTGAGGAAATTAATCAACCAGTGAGGTGAAAACATCTACATCTAGTCAGAACCGGAACAAAAACAAGGCAGCAAAGCTGTCAAATGTACAGACAAAGAACAGAAAATAAAGATGCAAATAANTTTTCGTAAATCTGCCCTTAATTTGATTAGCAATGCAAAATATATACAGTCATTTCTTAATCGTACAATTGTGGTCAGGAAAATAAAACCTATCCATTTATTTGCACCCCCCCCCCTTAACTCAAAAGTAGCCCTACACAATCTAACTAATGACAATAAACAAAATATAAACTATAAAGAAGAGAATGATGTCCAAATCATGTTAAGTCGGTATCTTTGCAGTTTGTTAGACACGTAGCCATTGTAAAATTCACCGGCAGTTTTTACAGAATAAGATCTTTTCGGTTTAAAATGACTCCTCTCCTTATCTTTCACTTCTGCAATGTTCCATAAGATATCAAAGGGGTACATTCAGATTCACACATCTTACTAGCTGGGTGGGTCCAACTGTGCAGGAGATTTTCGCTTTAAGTGCAATCAGTGGAATCAACTTAAACTGCACTTGATACTTAATCACCTTCTAGCTGCTCAAGGAGGCGTGTCAGGCAATAAAGCTGATACCACTGATTGCACTTTAGCGAGTTGGACTGATCCAGCTAGTATGATGTGTGAATCTGAATGCGGTCAAAAACAGCCTTTCTTCAGTTCACTTAGGTATAACCCTTATAAAATATGGATTTCATCTGCACGCAACATGGTATAATAACATAATATCAGCTAGAGGTGACATTTTGCACACTTCCATGCAAAACTACTGGCAAGATCTCAGATTTTTCATTATGCAGTCCACTTTTACCAGTATTATTATATAGGCTCTCTGTTTGTCTTGGAGCCAATATGATTCGTTATTGCAGATTATCGTCTCCAATGAAGTGGAAAAAATACCTTTTTAGATGATGGTTTCCATTCCTATTTGTGGAAGGACTTGCTATGTTCATACCAAAAACAAAACTTGTGGTCCCTTAGACTAGGATGGCTCAAAATGATCTCAGAATCCCATTTTTATATCTTACAATTTTCAAACAAACACAGAAGCCAATGATACAGACAACTGCTCAAACAACCTTTGCAGAACTTCGTCTCAAAGTTCAAATTGGATATACTGCCGCCAGTGCTTGATACTGTATCTCATCACTAGGTAAATAATAATTCAAACATTTTCACACCTTGGCTAAAAATACAGTGTCTTATCTTGGGTATTTTCGTCCACTTGATCATGAGTCTTCCTCGAGTAAAATCATGAGCATATGGATACTTCAGGTAAAAATGAATATGCAGCCAATCTAACGACTAGCACCATCAATCAGATTATAAGCATATGGATACTTGAGGAAAAAATGAACATGCAGATGCAGTCAATATGAAGACCCCATTCCCGCAGATTTTAGATCGATCTATCCCTGTGGGGAGTCTCACTAGATTACTGTCAGCTTAGCCGTCTACTAAAAGCTGTAAGGGGGAAATTAACTACCATGCGCTCTCGGCTGACTGCAATTTAGCGTGAACCCCCAGGGAGTTAGATCGATCTTGATGGATCGATCTAAATCTAAGGGAATGCAGTCTTGGACTAGCTTCATTACTAAATTTGTACAATGAGTAAAAAATCTTTTCCACATGTTACTACAACACCAGTAGAAGAAAAAGAAAAAAAAATTAATTTGGGAAAAGTAAATAAAAGCAGTAATGCCTTCCATCAATACTCAGATTCAGAATTCAGATTTTCCCTACATCTCTTCAAAGTTTTCAACTAGGTTATTCTAAGAGGATCTGAATGGCATCTAATTTTTTTAAAATTTAAATAAGGGAACACCCCTCACTTTAATAACCTCCTGTGCTAGCTGAATTTTTGTCATAGCAAGATTGTGAAATAATTCATTGAAACCCAAATAATTTTTTGCAGCAAAAAACAATTTTCCTATGCCCAAGACTGAAAATAACATCCTTGGACAAAAGATAACAGCATCAGTCCTCTAACTGCTTTGAACACAACTCTCAGATCTATTATATATATATATACAGGTACGAGTATGCTTTGAGTACAACAAAGATATTTTACTGAAGGTGGAATAAAAATACATCATAGTGGTGGTCATTTCTTCCTTCTGTGGGCTGAAATGATGACTCCGGTCAGTAGAAAGAGACTTCTTCTCCTTAAGTTTCTGACCCGTCTGGTAACTATTGGAACAGCCTAGTATCCCTGAGGGGAAAAAAAATGAAAACAAAATAAGAATTCTATAAAGAATTTTTTCTGAAGGCACACGATCAGCTTTAGACTTCTTTATGTCAAAAAAATTAATTTTCCTGGAAATTTCCACTCTTTGTAATTAAATTTACGAACAAAGTGTACCACATACAAAACCATGTTTTTGAGTTCTGAGTTTCTAGCTGTTTACTGACTTGTAATAAAGAAAGAATCTGGTGAATCTCAGTTAGAAAAAAATTAAAACTATACACCTAGAAAACAGGTTTATAAATTGTAGTTTTCACTTTGGCTTAGGGTAATAAAAGTGAAAACAGCTAAAACTTCCAGGAAAATTATCATTTTTTTCTTTTTAGCTCCATTAAGGTCTAACATATAAATATTAGGCCTTAAATTTAACTTAGACATGAAAATATCTGGGTTTTAGACCTAATCTTTATGGAAGATACTGCTGTAAAATAGCAGCACTTACTGTCCAAAGGTGTAAGTCAGGTCTGGCACACAAGGTATTTTACAAAATTTTCATCCCCTTCCCCTATATTTCTCTTTTTGTTTTATCAAAATTTAACAGTGTAATCCACAAATAAACTGTTTTCATTGAGTAGGCATAATTAACTGAAAATTTTGCTGAAAGTACATGGCTTAAACAAAAGAAAAAAAATAATAATACAATAATGTTATGAGCATAAAACTGAAAATCTTTTTAGAAATGACAATCTGAGGAATTCATTAAAACTTTTGAGTTTATTGCTAATCTGACTTACGTTCAAACAAGTAAAAATATTAAAAATGCAGTATCCATATAACAAACACTGCACATAATAAATACTTACATAACCACCTTGTTGGCCGTAGCCACCACCTCCACCGTACGAGTCTCCGTATCCCCCACTGCGTCCACCACCATAATTGTCACGTCCGCCACCATAGTTGTCACGTCCGCCACCATAGCCACCGCCTCCGTAGCTACCACCCCCGTAACCTCCACCTCCTCCGTAGTCATCACGATCACGTCCATAACCACTGCGTCCCCCTCCGTAACCGCCTCCCCCGCGTCCATAACCACCCCCGTAGCCTCCTCTTCCTCTGCCACTAATAACAAGATGTATGATTAAATAAAACATTTTTCCACTCATTGTTTTGGTGAGCACGACACGGTACTAGTAACAGTTTTTAAGAGAAATTGAAAGAAAAAAAAATCTCCTTTGAGGAAATTAATCAACCAGTGAGGTGAAAACATTTACATCTAGTCAGAACCGGAACAAAAAAAAATCTACCAAGCATATTGTCATCTAATGTTAATTGCACTGAGAGGCAGGTGGAGTGCGGAATATAAGAACCAGTTTTTTTACAGACAATTTACTAGTAAGTACACAGGGGCATACGAAGGGCGTTTTCTGGATCTTCCTGAAAACTGACAGAATTTTTTAAGTTAACATTGACAGAGGCATCTAATTTTTTTTCTGTCAGAAGACAGTCAAAAATGGAGCATGGATCAACAAAGATAATTTGGAAGACTGTCAAAAAATAACTCTAGATCCGCCCCTGGTGCAGAAATAGATGTGAAAAGTTGTGTAGAATTATATAAACTTCTTACCCTCTGTAGCCACCGCCACCCTCACCACGGTCCCTCCTTTGTTGTGCTTGGGACACCTTTATTGTTCTGCCTTCAAATACCTAGAAAAATATCCAAGCTCTTTATACATAAACATGGTTCTCCCTTGTATTAGCAACAAAAATATCAAAAGTCTGAATATTAACAGAAGAAACAAAAACTGCCAAACTTATTTCAATCACATGCCTATGGACAATATGAGGGTAAAATGTCAAACTGTTGGCTGTTACAGTTTATAATCAGGTTAAAAAAACTTAACTCTTAAAACTGGTCTTAAATTTTTGAAACATTTGCAAAGTGCTTCTTAAAAAAAAAAGTAGTCTAATACTTCTTTTTATTTACTATTGAGGATTCATCTTGAGATCACTTTTCAGACTAAAAAAGTTATTTTGTGCATCAGGCTCCAGTATCATCAAGTGGACTATAATTTTGGACTTAAAATATCCTATTTCTTGATATGGTGACAAAGTTACCTTCAATATCGTCTTACCTGTCCATCCATGTCGTCAATAGCTCTCTGGCAAGATTCTGGACTTGCAAATTCAATGAAGCCAAATCCTTTTGACTTGTCTGTGTCTCTGTCACGAACCACAGCAACTAGAATGAATGGTACAATGACTTAGAACCAGTCTTCAGTCAAACAATGAGTGTAAGAACTTGTGTAGCAAAAATTACATTTTCCTGGAAATTACAACTATTACCTCACCATGATATATCATATTGAAAACCATAAAAACAGTGTTCCATAAAAACAGTGTTTTTACTTTTTTTTTTACTTTTTCCATTGCTCATGTAATAGAGATAAAAACTAGTGAATATCATGTCTGAAATTAGAAAATAAGAAGTCTTTAATTTAAAGATTGTGTTTTGTAAATTTTGCAGTGGTTCTAGTATACCTAAGTCAGTGATAAAGGGATATAATTTTCCCAGACTTTCAGTTTTTTTTTTTGTAACATCAAAACTGTAATATACTGTATGCTTTACTCTATATTTCTAATCACAGATTTGTGAAGTACAGCTACACAAGTGATGATAAAGCAAATAATCTTTAAGTGGAACTTGACTGCAAAAATAATGGCATTCTGCATAAATATCTGAAAAATGTCCCCAAGTCATTTTTTAATGCCTAAATATCCAGTAAAGCTACACATCTTTCCCAAATGAGACTGTAAATATACATTAATCAGGCCTCAATTAGAATTAAGTTTGTTTGAAGCATACCTTAATTGGATTTCTTGAGGAAAATAACATTTGGTGGGAAAATCCCACATAGAAAAACATGCATGCCTATCCCTGGTCAAACCATGCAATACCTACCTGATGATATCGCTCCATATTTTTTGAACTTCTCTTCCAAACTGCTCTCTGTCGAGTCAAAATTCAAGCTACCCACATAGATCTTGGAAGCCTCCATCGTGGGCTTTTCTATTTCAAATAAAATAGAGAAAAATTAAAATGAAATTTAAAAACAAAGTATTATGATTACACATGTATGAGCACTGCCTGGAGTTTGAAATATTTCACTACACTGGTGGAAATTAAAGATGTTGTTTGAATTGCACTTAGCATATTTCTTTTAAAGGTGATGCTTTTAATGGGGATTGTGCACAACATCACAAGTGCCTCATATATATAGACCTGACTGACTCTGGTATAAATAGCCCGTGTCAAAAAATAACATGCAAGCTGATGAGAATGGGTAAATTAGAAATCTCCAATATTTCATGCCATAGTCAGCATCACTTCATTCATTAATCACAGAAAGGGATTTTTTATACATATATCATACCCTGACATATACCTAGCTGTTCAAATGAATATTTCTGTTATTTTGAAAGGGGGAAATTTCCAATTAAAAAATACACAATTGTCTTCTCTGCTCCACAATAGTGTATGAACTGTGCATTTTAATCATTTATGGAGTTCACCCAATCTAAGCACCAATTGGCACATGTGCAACCATCCAATAAATATTTATCCTACTTACCATCTTTTTATATCCAACAGCAGTATACTGTAGCTTTTTAGTTTTCTGATATTTACTATAGAGAAAAGTTAATAGCGAGGACTTAATTTATTTTATTTGGGACGGGAAAGCCAGTACATGATTATTTGAAAATCTGTGCCAAACATACACTCTTACTAATACAAATAATAAAGGAATATAAAAATGATCAGTTTTGTTGTCCAAACAGTCCTTTGTCTGTAAAACGTAAGCATGCATGTGTTCTTTCTCGCACCATTCACTGTCATTTTTTTCAGTGCTGCTTTCAATCAACATTTTGGAAATCAAGCTTCACTAAGCATTTATCTTCATTGAAATGTGTTATTTCTGTAAATGTGAATGGCCATTTTGTGAAAGAACTTTCACCCCCGGGACACACGCCGTCGAGACAAAACGCCGGCTTTCTTTAAAACAATACAAGTAAAAACCACTATTGAGCTACCACGGCTAACTAACCAGAATGAGACCCGAGTATCAGACCTTACAGTGAATTATTAATTTTATGTTTTTGTCCTTGAAAAGTACTTACATTATCTTAAAAGAATCAACAAAGCACAACAAAGCGATCCAAACACACATGGACCGCACACACGCAAAAGTAACAGTTGGTTTAGGTAGATGGCGCGCTGAAGCTACGCTACGCAACTCTAGAGGTCGGGGTTGAACAGCGGGATCCAAGAGAAGCCAATACAAAGGTGCACATACTACACTTTAAACAAGTCATTAAACGAGCTCACTTACATGTAACGCGTGAAATAAATTACCTTGTATAAGCCGCAATCAAATAAGAGTGTTATAATCATAAGTGCCATTTATTAAAACGCAAGCTATCACAGATCATTTCAAGCCAAGCAGGATCTTTCTCAAAAGGACAAGTCAAACAAGTTAATGGTTGTACTTAAAATTTTTTTTTTCAAAATTGTCACTTTAAAAGTTCTTGCAGTAAAGATTTATCAAACTTTGTATTTAAACTATGAGAAAACAATGAAATGTGTCCATTCGAACATAATAATTACATCTAAAACTACAGACAGTGAATGTACCATTTTGATACAGAGTGCATTGCACTAAATCATCTCACAATCAAAATGGCACAATTCATATTTCAGTCAACTTCAAGACGTGATGACATGAAATTATTTTGTTGACAAATTAATTAACTGTCTCTCAATTCCACTTCATGAAATACACTCATAATATAGATAATCAACAAACTTGAAAGCATTAAAATTATCATCATCCATTTATTTATAAAAAGAAGTTCCACAAATACATTTTATGTTGCCACGGTCTCATCTTTGTGAAAAAGGAAAAAAATACCTTTGCAAGTATGGAAAATATAGCCTCTAGATTAGTGAAATCTTTAATTTTAACTTTTGTTAACTTATAAATGTTGTAGTGTTCAATAAGAATGTTACTGAAAGCTGTGAAATTCAACACAACTGACAACATGTACAACAAGCCAAAAATAAATAAAACTTCTTCTCAAGGGAGGTCTATGCACAAGGTCTCTCTATACATTCAATGTTAAATTCTCAAAATAATGGTCCTTTTAAAACTGTTCTTTATCTGCTCTCCAGTTTGTCACATTTACAAGTCACTATGTACAAAACACTATCAATGCCAGCAAAGTGGAGAAAAACCAGCTGCTGGACTCGAATACACTTTGATCTTTCAGCAACAAAATTTTTGCGCACTGTCACTAGCACTACCTTATACATAATAAAAGGTCAGTCTTTTAACAATTTAAAGTTGAAGTAGGTGAATCAGAAACTGACTAGTCTGTTAGTTGTGTTCAATAATAATTTTTTTTCTTTTAAAATGAGTAATAATAGACTTGTATAATCAGACTAGATGCATTGCAGGAAGTCGAGGTGTCCTATGGCACGCTTTACATCCAAAATGTGCCTCTAAATGCCGACCAAGGTCTTAAGTTGCTGCAGTTGGTATATCGCCCACTGTGGTGAAAATACTATCTTCTTGTTGACAACACCTTTAACCGAGGAGTCCGACTAAAACTGTAAAATAGAATTTTTAATTTTTTTAGTGAACGAGGAGAAAAGAAAATCACAATATATTCCTGTACAAAAAAGTAAACAAACATATCAACAATTGATTTAAAAAATCAAACATACAAGCCACATGAGTGGAAAATAACCTGAAAATAACCTGAAAAACACATAAACATAATGCTGTAGCTAGAACTTATCTTTTCACCCTGTTGCAAAGAAAATGGCCTTATAAAGACAAACAAGTAAATAAATTCACGCCATAACCAAAAGACCTGTACAATGATGTCTGTGTTCCATATTTAGTAAGCCATCAAGTCCGAGACACAGTTAATCAAAATTTGTCTGCATTTCCTTTCAGTAACAAGTCGCACTCGTACAAGTAAAGCTTTGTATACTTACAATTTAAAAACCTCCGCTATATCCGCCACTACGTCCGCCTCCATATCCACTGTCATTGTAACCACTGTCACCATATCCACCGCCTCCACTTCCGTAGCCACCACCACCACTTCCGTAGCTGCCACCACCGCTTCCATAACTGCCGCCACCCCTTCCATAGCCGCCACTACCATAGCCACTGCCTCCGTAGTTGCCTCCGCCAAATCCGCCGCCATCACGTCTCCCTCCATAACCACCTCCTCTCCCACCGCGGAAGCCACCGCCTCTGCCCCTGAAATTATGAAAATACTAATCACATTTCTGTTGTCAACAAAAAATGTAAACACAGTGACTTGACTATCAAAGCATCCAGTGTAACTATGTAGTCCTTATATGATAATGATACTTCAGAATAAAAAGAACCACCAAGTGACATATGAAAGTGAGTTTTCTACCAGCACTCACTAATTTAAAAACAAAAATGCTCTTACATCTGGCTTGCTGAGAAGTGCTCAACCAGAGCACTGATAATAAATTGCTGGGATAAAGTCTATTCTCAGCGAGCCCAGATGTGCAACCACAATCATTAGTATTAGAAGTAGACTATCTCAACAATGAATAGGATAAATTTTATGTTGTAATCTGAAACAAGGATGAAATGACAAACCACCTACCCTCGGTATCCTCCTCCCTCTTTGTTTTGTGCCGGGTTGACCTTTAGCGTTCTTCCTTCAAAATTCTTAAAAAAGACGAAAACGAGTAACTAAGTTATTATATATATATATATATATATATATATATATATATATATATATATATATATATATATATATATATATATATATATATATATATATATAAAACGCTAATACATTCAATTTTTATGTTTCTTTGACTTGTGGCCCTGGTGGACTGTGTCCACCTCTTCAACCTGCCTTTATGTATGTATTTTGTACTTTAAAAATGTGGTCCATCAATGTTATACATTTTGATCAGTGTTGTTACAAGTGGTCAAGCTTGTCCTCTTACCTGACCATCCATTCCTGAAATGGCTTTCTGACAGTCCTCCTGGTTTTCAAACTCAACAAAGGCGTATCCCCTCGAACGGCCAGTCTCTCGGTCGGTGATCACCTTGGCTGAAATCAAATATGCAAATCACCGAGAATTTAACAGGTTGTTTTCAATTCAATCAATAAATAGCAAACTCCTTTCTTTAATCTGTATGCAGCATTTGATAAGCACACTCACAAAGTAAATAAATAAGACTCAATAACAAAACTTATACCAAAATAACCAAAAAGTGCTGAACTCTGACACATTCTTTTCCTTATAAGGTTTTCTTTCAACATTAGAGCAAACAATGGGATAATAAATATTACCAGATCTGACACAGCCATAGTTTGAGAACTCTTCCTCTAATCTTCTGTCGTCTACATCGTAGCTCAAATTTCCAACATAGACCTTGCTTGAATCTACCATTTTAACGGTAGATGTCAGAAATGGCTGAAAATAACAAAAAACGTCTGTTGAGTTTTTTATGGGTTAAATGCATGTTTTAAGACCTAATAAAAACCTTCATTTCTCAGGTGTTTTTGCACTTTTCATAATTATCCTCAAATTCTCAATGATAACCTTATTCATTTTTCCCCAATTATTCTGTGAAATTTGACATTATTTTCTACTAGAGTCAAGGTTTCCAGTCAGTTATCACACACACACACACACACACACACACACACACACACACACACACACACACACACACACACACACACACACACACACACACACACTTTGTCTTTGCAAAACTGAAGATCCTATTAACTGATGAAAGTATGGTAATTATTCCATCTTTTCAAAGGGGGCAAAATGTAAATTTTACAGACCCTGTATTTTTCGGTCATAATTTCTTAATCTTTGTGAATTCCTACTGAATTCAAATTCAAACTCTGGTTTTCAAACTCAACAAAGGCCTATCCCCTCGAACAGCCAGTCTCTCGGTAGCAATAAATTTAAAAAGCTGGCTGCTCTTTAGTTCTACTCTATGCAGGAAAAGCACCACAAATACTGTACAGAAATACACTTTTTTTTTTCAATCATAAAATGATGTTTCTGAAAGTTTGATAATTTTTGTCCACTGAAAAGATTGAGTAATTACTGTATATAGATCAGGATTGTCAACAGTGTGTCATTATTCTGCTGATATTGTAATCTGACCATTTAATTTTTTTTCTCTTTTTTTAACTTGGGGGGGGGGGGGGGGGGGGGGGGCAGCATTTATTTTTGATTTGCCTGTAACACTTGGTAGTTAAATAGAACTGTTTACTATATACTGTATGTACTATGCTATGTATTTGTGTACTATATGTCAAGCTGCATATCGCTATGCACATGAATATGAACAATAAAATACTGCCTGGTGCATTGTCTCAGGACCTTCATCATGGCTCGTCTTATTTATTCAGTGCCTGCTTCCTAATTTTGAAACAGTTTGTTGCCATCAAAAACCAGAAAAAAAAAATCTGATGGATGGCAAGAAAATTGATTAACAATCTTATTTAGAAAACTAGTGAAACAAAATAGTGGCCCACTCCATATCATCATTCTCTTGTTGCAAATTTTTCCTTAAAACAGTAATTTTCAAAGAGTGTATATGTTTATCATAAATTTATTTACTGAAATAGTCACAAAACAGTCAATGGACCATTTGAGAAACTGCAGTTTTTTCCGTACACCCTAATTTTAGTGAGTAAATAAAGTACTGATATCATACACAAGATGTAATTTACTATCATTAAGCTGGGCAAACAAACTGTGAATTAAAACACCCATAATCATTAACTTCTATCTTCTATATACGTATATCAAATCAATCAATGAATAAAATTTTAGCTAAAGTTTTAGTTCCACACTCCTCTAAACACGATCCTTTCCAATCCCAGACAACGGTCCCCCCAGACAAAGAAGAATTTGGGCGCTAAATATGGAGTCAATAAAATTAAGTTATACTTCTCATTTGGTAAATCCATATAAACGATATATAAGAACAAACTATCCATACTTGTTAAAAGAAACCCAAAGTTTCCGGAAAGTGGAATAAAATAAAGGGATATGTCTGAAGTTTTACTAAATTTTGGTCCCCATTGTTGAACGTAGGGCTTAGCCGAAGACGGCAGAAAATTTGTCGGCATCATTTCAAAACGGTCTAAATGCGTGCTTTATCCTACATGTGAAAGCAAAATATATGAAAACTTAAACTTTGTAATCGACTTAAACTTATTTTCTATAGAATATGCAATATATTTACTTACAATTTCTGTTTTGAAACGACAAAGAGCGTTTACCGGTACGATCACCACATGGGCAGCATGCACAAGAGAGTGATGCCAACGGTAGATGGCGCGACATGAGAAAATCGGCACGAAAGGTGGCGCTGAGAGTCAAGATAAAATCGCTAAAGTAGTAAACTGACAACTTGTCAATAAATAACAAATACATAAGTGCAATAAAGGCGCTGAGAAATAGACATAACACTGATTATTTTTTAATATAAAATATGCTTTAAAGAGGCAAATTAACTTTACTAGAAAGTTGATCATCGCAAGTTTAGAATATTCTCACATCAGTTTCAGTCAGGAATTAAATTTTTTGCTAGTCGAAGCACACAGTACCCCTTTCATCAAAATAATGAAAAATTAATAGAAAGGCCCATTTTAAAGAACGTGCTTAACATCAGTTTCAATCTTATTTGTACTGAGTTTGGGTTTTTAATACTTCAAGATTCAGATATCAGTTACTAGACCCTGCCCAGTTTGAGGTCCTTTTCATGGTAATTCAAATATTCTTTTCACGAAGTGTCACCTTTACTGAAATCACCATGTCTTTACTTCCACCGAAATCCCTATCATTTTAAAATCAAACAAAAGTAAAATTGATTTTCAAACAATTATTGCATAAAAAAATGAAGAACAGCATAAAGCTCCCAAATGTTTATTTCAATAAAAGAAAGACTCACAATTACACCAAGTTTGTTGACTTGATTATGGAAATGACTATCAAAACACTGACATACCAAAGAAGGCAAGAGACAATGACTTTGCTACCCTTTCTTTATAAACACTTATCACACATGAAAAATGAATGTACCAATATCAACTAAAGACTGCAAAATAATCATAATAATACTAAAACAATCCTTAAATATAAAACTTGGAAGTATAATACAACTACCAAAAGAGTGAACAGCTTACTTTTCATTGTGATACAGATATTATACACACTTTCAAAGAACCATTCTTTGTGACTTGTTATACATTCATATACAAAACTATACACTCATTGTCTCGCATCTTATAGATTTTTATTATACTTTGCATTCAAGCTACAGTTATGTACAAAATATAAATGTCAGAACATCAGTCCAACTGCTGGAGTTATCCAAGTAACTTGCTTGATACAAAGCAACTTTAAAATATTGGACAACCCTCAGTGATCTATGAATGTACAAAAACTGATAAACAAAATAAAAGGACCACATGAAGTCGAGTCAACATTTCAATACTTCAGTCCACAGGCAAGTTCATTTCACATACTTTTTTTTTGTCTTGGGAGTCAATTTCATATGTTATTGTTCAAAGGACTGCACTTACAATTTCAACTGTGTAAAACCAAAGCATTTTTCCATAGCAATGCTCACGAGCAACACTTTTATCTGCAGGTAAAAAGGCATGGAATGCATGTAACCATTCACTCGGATAGAGTGGTCTTGAGGATGCCAAAATAAATTTGGGGTGGGGGGGGTGGGGGTGGTGCTGAATCAGTTCCTTTGAGATATACAGAAGTCTAAAAAAGTCACCAATGTTGTTAAGCAATCCATTCCCACTCTATGAAGGAGATATAAAACACGTTTTCAGCACTAGATTTCTGATGGACTCCTCTGGCTGAACCAAGTCAAGAGTTTCACCAAAGAAATGCAACAGAACACAGTTTCCCCCCTGTAGATACTAACCCAAGTATAGGTCTTCCATGCTGATAGAGGACTTGGGCAAATAAAAACTTTTAAAGGTGCAAAACGTCACAAAAGCACTCTGCAATCTGTGACGGCAAATGGTGGCGTGAGTAACTCTTTGACACTTGTGAAAATGAGTCTGCATTTGGACGACGAAGACTGTGAACAGCACTTAGAGATGGCACCCCTCTGTCTCATCTCATAGTTAAACAATGCTGTCTAAGAAAGTTGAAGGAAAAATACTCTTGGAAACTAAATTGTTCATGTATGACACCTGCAGTAAAGGTGCATAACTCAGTGTAAAGAGATGTTCTTTTTTACTCCTCTATTCTTCTTACACTGGAAATCACTGAACTGAGCTAGTACTGAAATGATACAAAAGTAAATCAAATTATAAACATATTCACATGGTTAAATGGTGACGGAGGCATAACTGAATGGGGCCTAAGACATGATTAAATGGTGTAAATGACTGAACGTCTTTTAGTACAGGACCACCTTGAGAGGCATGATTGAATGAAGACTAAGACATGATTAAATGGTGTTTATGACTTAATGTCTTTAAAGTTCAGGACCACCTTGAGTTAATGTGGCAAAGGAAACCAAAGGGCCTCATGGAAACACTATATACTTTTTATTATCATTATTTCTGAAACCATAATTCAAAGAATGCCGTATGACAAGCACTTACAGGTTTGTTCCGACTGGATCCACCATATCTCTGAAAGTGAAGAGAATCAAAAATGTTTACAAAATAACACAAGGTAAAATTGGATGTTTATATGTTGCTTTGTAGAAACAGCTTCAATGCCACTGACAGTTAATCATAAATCATTTTTCTTTTATAATACATACAGCTCCTCAAATAAATAATTAATCAATTATCATTCAAAAGAGTAACGATACAATGGTAAATGATCAATTACCTGGAAATCAAAACAACTAAATCAAACAGACAGGAAATCATTTACTATAAACTTACATCTCTGCCATAGCCGCCGCCCCCGCTGCCATATCCGCCTCCACTGTATCCTCCACCACCGCCGCCACTGTATCCGCCACCACTTCGTCCACCATAGCCACCGCCACCACTCCTGTCGCCATAGCCACCACCCCTGTCGTTGTAGCTGCCTCTGTCGCCATAGCCTCTGTCATAACCACCCCCACCATAGCTGCCACCACCACGACCTCTGTATCCTCCGCCACCGCCTCCACGAAATCTGAAGAGATACAAGTGTGATAAAAATGTGTGAAGAAAAAAACCAATTTGTCAGACTCGACTGGTGCTTGACATTTTTCCTTCTTTTGTTTTATCAGGAATGGGTCACTGTCAATATTTAAAATACAAAATTAAGAAATTAAATAAATTAAATACAGTTTTATAAGCAATCCTTAAAACACCAAATCAGAATATCAGAAATACTCCATAACTTATTTGATTTTATTTACTCTTTATCACTGCTATTCTTACAATGTTCAATCTAATGTTTGCTATCTTCAGAAAACTTACCTTCCACCGCTGCGGCCACCGCCGCGGCGATCCCCGCTAGATTTCACGGCATAGGCAACTTTGATCTGTCTGCCATCTAGGGTCTTAAAAAAAAGTTTTTACATCAAAAATTGCATGACTGTTTGATACCAATGTATCCCAGTTACTTTAAACTTAAACACACCCAGAAGGGTCTTCAATTTATACTTCTTACTCCAGCTACTTTGCACTTTCATTATAAATTAATTGGAGTTTACAATATAAACACATAATGCAAATCTAGTGAGATGATAATAATGATATATCTGTTATCATCTTCATACTAAAAGCTTGGCTTAATGCACCAAAGGATAATGTGTCTCTCCATCATATCCTTTAAATATAAAGAAATTCCGCAAAGTTACAGCATTGAAGCCTTTTTATGGCTGAATGATTGGTTAATTTTTTGTTTTTTTGGCATGTGGACTTAACTCAAGTTGTGTAAGAAAATTGTAAAAGTAATTTACATGCGTCACAGAAATGTACACAGCTGCACTTTTAGGCATCTTAAAATATATACATCAATACTGACAGCTTAATTTTCAGTAACATTTGGATTAAATACAGTTAGCATTCTGGGCTTAAAAGTGTGGTTCGTATTATACTCACGGCTCCATCCATAGCCTTAATGGCCTCTGCACAGTCAGCAGGGTCGGCATACGTGACAAACCCATAGCCTCTGGACTTCTGGAATTCTCTGTCCCTGATCACCAAAACTGAAAGCAGAAATGGAAAAATAAACATGGGCTCAGATAGTAACCGCACTGAGGGTAAAGATCAACTTTGAAAGTATTGTGGAAGATTGGGGGTTTATACATTTCGCTTGGGTCTTGCATTTTCTTTTTGCTACCCCCCCCCCCCAATTTTTTTTCTTTCTTTTTTGCTAACTTACTTCATTAAAAAAAAAAACGCCTAACCCAAGCTTAATTATATCCCCACACCCATAACTTTCAAAGTTTTACACGTCGATGAAAGAACAAAACTGAAAATTTTCACATTTCTAAGGAAACCTGCACATGAAGTCTTTGGGAGGCCAAAATACAATGAGATCCTGTCACNATAACTTTCAAAGTTTTACACGTCGATGAAAGAACAAAACTGAAAATTTTCACATTTCTAAGGAAACCTGCACATGAAGTCTTTGGGAGGCCAAAATACAATGAGATCCTGTCACTTCTCCAGTGGGCAACTGTGGCATTCTGAACTACTCACCCAAGAAAAATAACCCAGCATCATTGCACAGATAAATCAACTGTGCACCTACTCAAACAAAGGTCTCTACATCTCTTTGTGTGTTGTGTGTAGGATTGAAACAGTATAAAATGGACCCAGGGATCCTCTCGACCTCTGCACATGAAAAGCTTAGTAATGAACAAAAGAACAATACCACAGGCAGATGATTCTGATGTATTTGTTTTCTACATGTCCTCCTAGATGACATCTGGGGATTAGATGGAAGCTGCTTTTTTTAATACAGAAGAAAGTTTGCGACTGAATTCCTTTAAGAAAAAAGTGGTACTCTATTCACTGGCATACTTAGGCAAAAGAAACAGTAATGCGATCCAGTACACGAGTGATCTGCCTTCCTTGCATGTGGTGGCATGGTGGTATGTTGTAATGCTCATGTAGATTCCATAAAATAAAGATGCCCACAGATAAGCGGAGGCGTATGGATATGTTTTGAAGGTTATGACTGGGAAACAATACCAAAATGCACATGGAGATCCATTGTCACAGTCCAATGTCAATCCTATATCAGGTCAAAGAAGACAATTGCATTTTTTCCTCTTTCTATAAATATGCAAGAGGTAAAATCATAAGATGATATTTTGGATAAAAAATCTTCAATATGTAATCGAGAATGACATGCAACAGGCTCCCTCGTGAAGATATAAATAAAGTCAACATGAATCAAGGCATTTTTCGTGGTTAGAAAACAAAACTGCTATGAGAATAATTCATGCAAACGGCCAATGCCATGTATCCTATAAGCACAAGTTGGGATCCAGAGACATTTTTTTTCCTTTTTGGCAAACACATGATTTCTCACTTCCTGTGTAAAATTTCATCGTTTTCCAGTAAATGATTGAACTGCACAGTGAAACATGTTCCTTGCTGATTTTGGAGACATTATTCGGAGAGAAATAAGAGGAAATTAAGTCTCTGTCTGATCGCAACCTTTATGATCTCATGGACACCTGTAGCTATGGAGTAAGTGCTTGAATTTTTTTCAAAATATTTCAGCAAAATATGGAATGTACAAATACTCAGATTCAATTCAGAGACCTACTTTCAAACACCAAAGAAAGCAAATTTTGGGGGTCTGTACAAAATGTTCGAAGAACAGTAAGAATTTGGATAAAATCATGACTTTTCTTTCTTTTTTTTTAAGAGAGAGAGACAAAACAGAGTCATCAAACTTGCTTCAATCCTTTGAAATTCTATTGAAAAATGGAGCAATTTTTGCTTTTTCTAATAATATCTGTAGTAGATCTATACACCGCCATAGAATACCTTCAGCCACTCTTCCATAAAGTTTAAATTGCTCTTCAAGGGAGTTCTCGTCTGTATTATAGCTGAGACTCCCCACGTAGATCTTTCCGTCTTGGGACGAATCCATTTTCCCCAGTAAGAGGCGATGTACTGTAGTGCAGTATCTATCAGTCCAAGAGAAATCTGGTGTTCAGAATCAAGAGAAGTCGGCAATTAAAAAGCATGGTTCATCATCATCATAATCAATATTTGTTCATTTTCAATTCTGAGACACCAGAGCTATAGGACTGGGGAGGGGGGGGATACAAACCTTGTCGATCCAATGGAAAAGACCCTTTTTTTTCCTGTCAAAGATAATGGGCACTACATTGGCATTTACATCTGAGAGAATTCACTTTTCAAACATTCATGGTCTGGACTGAATTTTTTCCCAATATTTCGGGATATCTGTTTCAGGGATATTTCATAATTTTCACATTTTCCCACTCCCCAAATTTGTAATTAGGACTGTATTCATCATCCAATTGTGTCTAAGAAAAATTTATTGTATCCAGACCTTGTGGTTTTATCCAGCACAAATATCAGAATCTCCAGTCTCTAGATTAAAATGAATTGCCAACTGTCTGCACGTGGATAGGGCCATTATTGTCTCGGTCTAAATACGCTGTTGCTTTTGTTCGCTGATAGCAACTCCTTTTACATAATCATCCCCTGTCTTCCCTATAACCAAAAACTTTTGCAAGAGAAAGAGCACAAATGATTTCAATTCTCTCCGAGTTTGCATTCAGTGCACGTTTTCAAATACAAGTGCGGCCATTTTGTTAATTTTCAGGAGCATCCGCCCTGCAAATTTCATTTCACTTTTTCAGTAAGTCAGCTGTCGCGACGTGCGCTAAACATAAACAAGTGCCCTTCATTAAACAGTTTTTGATCTGTCAAAAATAAGATCCCTCTAAAACTTGAGATTCATACTTACAAAAATTAAAACAGAGACAAAGATTTCGGACCTTGTGCCTCGCCTTTGTCTTGCCGCAAGCTTTCTCGCACGTACGCCAACGGAGCATACGTCGGTAGATGGCGCTTAATTAATTTCGGATAAAAAATAGGGGGAGCCCGTGTAGCTTGAAATGCAAGACAAGCTAAAAACCAGTGAGGAATGTTGCTTCAGCAGCTTTCAGTTACTGGTTTTTAGCTTGGTATTTGTTATACACGTGTACGTTTCTTTTTTCTTTTTGGAAAATAAATCAAATCTTGTTGGGGATTTGGAGAACAGAGGGCACATGTTTCAAAGAATTTCAAGTCATGAACAAATTCAAGCAGCATGTTAGACCAAACCCAAGAAATGAAAATAAGTTCACTTTATTTAAACCAGTTGAAAATAATATCAATTCTGCTTCTTTGGAAGTTAGACAAACAGTATACCAGTACATGGACAAATAACAATTATCATAAACTACAAATCATAAAAGATACACAAAGTTTATCCTCATTTCTAGTTTGTTTTTATAATTAATAAAAATGCTTTCTAATTTGAACTATTAATGGAGTGTATTAGTACCTTATCATCAAAATAACAAATAATTACAATAATACAGAAAAATAATAAGAAAATATAGACTTTGAAATGTCACATGTTCCTCACATAAGTTATAATGTACCTTTTTTAGCACCCGTCACTTGGAAGTCATTAAGCAAATTCACTTGAAGAAAACAGTTCACAAGAATCCTTCAAACTAAAAAAAAAAAAAAAAAAAAAAAAAAAAAAAAAAAAAAAAAAAAAAAAAAAAAAAAAAAGAAAAAAAAAAGGCATGCAATTTGCACCACATACAATATGACTGCTGTACACTATTTCCAGAGGTTTTTCCATCAAGCTCCATTGCATGACATTTTCAAACTAATTGTATTCACTCACTGTCCCATTTTCAAATTTATTGATACCTAGAGAAAATCGTACTTTTTTCCCATCCACACACATTGCACTGAAGCAACTGATAGACCTTAAGAGCAGTTACTTTCGTCTATCAATCAGTTGTGTTGATAAAACAATTAAACTGTTAAGCTGCTGACAATTAAATAAACTGAGAAATAAGTTACAATTATACTGGTATATTAATATAAATTAAGCTATTAAACTTGGTCAACAAATGTAATACCATGACTAAATGAATAACACTCTTTGTTCCCCAAAAATGCACTGTTCATATATGTTACCGTGTTGTGATTAAGTTTACAAAAGTTTTGCAAAACTGACAATACCGAAAAAATGCACATTTATCAAATTGCGTAACATCTTCAACGTTAAAGGGAGTAAAAAAAAAAAAGCATTTCAGTAAAACTTGACAAGGCTGTTTGAACAAAAGAAATGAAAACTTTTCATATTAAATTTTATGAGACAGATAGTAACAAAGAGACAAACATGTTTATTTCAGGATTTACTTGTCATCATGAACCCCACTGCACATCGCTTAAAACTCACAGTTCAATTTAAGTTAAGCTTATTTTTCATTACTCTGCAAATACATAAACAAGTAAATAAATACAAATTAATTAAAAATAACTGACTATATACAAAGCAGATGACTTTCTTATAAAATTGCATTATTTTCACTGCATGTGGAGGAATGTGAACATTTTTCTTAACTCCTTTCCTACAACTCTTCCTAACAACTAGGGATAAGAGTAAAAAATGCTTAAATTCAAAGTGTGTCTTAATCAAATGTTATGAAAATACATGTTCAGGTCTTTTAACAACGTGCGCATGACATATTTAAAACTAAGATTCGGTCCTTTGACTTAAAAAAAAAAAAAAAAAGATTTACAAAAATAATTTTGGTCTTTTTTCAGACATGCCAAATGAAAGCATCTTCTGGAAAAAAAATGTTGCACAAAGAGATTATCTAAGGAAAATCTATCTGTCTGGGAAAATACAAATGGCTTACCGAAGAAAAAGTAAAAAAGAAATTCGGATCTTGATCAAAAATGTTATCCATATCATATCAAGGAAAAAGTTATAATGTTGCAAGATGTGCTGCAAGACGTTGATTCAGTGACATTATACATACATGACATGGAACAACAACATCCAAACTAACTGGTGCTGTATTGCTTTTATCCCAACTTGTCTAAAACTTTATCTAAATCTAAATTCAACAAGGTCACAGTCAAGATCCACTGGAATCTTGCCACCTTTTTTTCCCCCCGTTAAATTAAAATCTTATTTCCAATCTGAATCAAAGCACTGGCAAATTGCCACAAATGTATGATACATTTTTTCTATTACTGGCTAAAGTTAAACAAGCTTAATGAACCAATGTTTGGTCTAAAAAAATTTAACTAAGAACAGAGAGAGAGAGAAAATAAAAGAGAGAGAGAGAGAAAGAGAGAGCAAAATATCTGTGTTAACTGTCATAAATCTATACTACAACAGTTGGTGATATATAGTCTCTGGGTAGATATATGTTCTGTCGACCCTGTCACTGGTATCTTGGCTAATACTAAAATGAAAAAAAAAAAGAAAGAAAAAGCAACAGGTCAAAGTTGGTCATGTAAATTTTGAAGTCCCCGGATGGATGGAAGAATCACAACACAAGTAACTAATTTTATAAAACTTACAAAAGTAAAAACATCTTGGCAGAAGATAAGCATACCAACAATTTGAGTAGATCTCATTACTTGTCCTTCCTTAATTATTGTACTTCTGGACTTCAGTTAAACTAACATTTTTAAATCCTAACATAAATCTGAACAAGTTCAAACATAAAAATAATCATGCTATATATTTCCCATCAGTTTTTATATATATGCCCAGCCAACTACAATTTAAAAGTAAAACATATCCACTTCAACTACAAAAATATTTTATTAAATTTGATAATTAAAAGCTTCAAGTAATTACCTGATAGCCCTGCTGCTGCCCATATCCACCCCCACCATAGGCATTTCCATATCCACCTTGTCCTCCATATCCGCCTTGTCCACCTCCATATCCGCCATAACCACCACTGCTGTATCCTCTATCTCCACCTCCGTAGCCTCCATATCCGCCGCGGTTATAGCCACCACCATAACCACCACCTCTTCCACTGAAATTTGTAATTATATCAGTAGTATGTCAGATAAACAAAAATGTTAAAATTGTGAAATCTGTTAAAAGAACCCAACCTTATTTAAATCATACTTCAGAAAATAAATTTTTAAATTTGCCAAGGGAATAAAATTTCAGAAAAAATCTCAAAATTTAACAGCACACAAATACACCTGAAAAATTCATGCTCAACCAATATGATGTCATTTCATTTATTCTAACCCAAAGACATGCTGAAACTGTTCATCCTACTGGCCAAGACCAAAATAAAAAAAAAAAAAAACAAAAATGTTCAAAGATCAGTACAAAATCATGCCCAGTCAGTCGACAAGGCCAGAAATACATGTAAAAGCCAGCATTGTGAATTCGCAGTAAAGAACCATGATGAAAAGTCAATATGGCAAATTACTGTAAGAAATTTTCCACATTCACAATAAAAGTTGATCCACAGATCAAATATGGCTGAAAGTTTACAGCCTAATCCCGGCGGTGAATCTCTTGAGTGTCTATTAAGGGATTATGCAGAAAGCTTTCAAGTGGGATGGCCATATTTGATCCGCGGATCTGTTAGACCATGGATTAACTTGTTCTGAATGTGCCTCAAGTCCAACTTGAATTCCAACTGTTTCTTTAAGTTTCAACATGCCTTGAGTTTCAAATCTTACCGTCCGCCTCCCCCGCTGGACTTGGTGGCTGGCGCCACTTTCAGAGTCCTACCCTCTAACTCCTGGAATAAAGACAAAAAATAGAATATAAGGTATTGACGAGAAACAAAAACCTATCACAGGTTGTTGATGTCTACCATTAAACTTCTACAGTCTGAATAAAATAAATAAATAAATAAAAAATAAAATATAAGGTACTGACGAGAAACAAAAATCTATCACTAAATAAATAAATGAATAAATAAGTAAATAAATAAATAAATACAAGAATTTTATGTCGGTTAACCTGTCAAATTAACAAAATTAGAATGTCTAACCAGTCAGATACTTATTTATCTATTTATTTATTAATTTATTTTTAACAAACACAAATGAATGTGCTACATTATGTATTACGTACAAATTCTTCTAAAATCTGTAGACTTTAACTAATCAAGAAAGTAATAATCACATTTATTAAAAAGATTTTCTAAAATATTTTGTTTAAGGCCAACTCCATGGGTTTTTTCCTGGGGTAAAGAGCAATTTTCTCCTACTCAACTGAACTGGAAAATCTAAGCTTTACAAGACATGAATATGACAGCGGGAGATTTATAAATGCATGAAGAGAATCTCTACATATTAATTTTGGTGGAAAAAAACCCAATGGAGTGTCCCTTTAAGGAAGTTTTCAAGTATATCCTTGCCTGCCCATTCATATTAGAAATGGCTTGTTGACAGCAGTTTGGGTCCTGAAAGGTGATGAAGCAGAATCCCTTCGACCGTCCTGTGGTATGGTCCATAATCAGTTGTACTGTGGATGAAATTTCAATACTAAACAATTGCAGCATATAATTCTCCTTTTTAATTAATATCTGAAAGATAACAGTTTTCAATAGCATAAATAAACAATATAAATAAATAAATTATTTTAATCTTAATCTAAACAACCCTTGGATAAGATTATTGTTGGGGTGCTATAAATAAGTAAAAATTTAGAAAATAATAAGATTTCTGAATTACGTATAATGTACTCCTGAATCAATTTACAATATATAAACTATAAATCTTTTTCAGGGAAACCATTTGCAAACGAGTGACTCATGATACAGTACTTATTTATATGATTATACTGTAGTTACTGGTAGATTACATTACATGGTCGTAATTGTAGTCAAGTGATAAATGTTTTGTAGTCTTGTGTCATGTTATTCTTGATGTGCTTGTCAAATTTTCCCCCTTTTTTTTTTTGAAAACAGAAAATTGTAACGAGGGCCATTCATGGGCCTATGGCAATTTCAAGAGCTGTAATTAAAAAAAAATGTCCTTTAGTCTAGCAAATGTTTCGTATATCCTGGTCCATATTTGTAGGTTTTGAAGAATTATATGAATTATCATTATGAATTATCCTGTTTATATAGCAAAATGTTCTTTGCTCTAGCAAAATTTTCACAATATCTGGTCCGAATTTGACGACTTTGATGAATTATCAGGGATATTTCAACCTTACCCTGTTCCACTGTTCCAAAGCGTTCAAAGGTCTGTTGAATGGTTTGTTCTGTGGTGTCATAGTTCAGGCCCCCACAATAAAGCTTCCCTGCTTGATCCATTCTTGAGGTCTGGTTTTAGTAATCTGGTCAAATTAAAATAAATATTCATTAGAGATACATATAAATATTCATTAGAGATACAAATATGGAATCTCAAAGAATTGCCACTTAACCCAACCAAATTTTAATTTTAGTTCTATGATAAAATTAAAATAAATATCTATTCATTTAAAAGATAAATATGACATCTCAAAATATCACTGCTTAACCCAGCCAAATGCCACCATATCTTTTGTTTCAAATAGCATAGCTTAAAGAAATACCAAAGGGTATTGTTTAATATTTGCTGTAAAAAATGATACGTGGATGGGAATTTTCTGCTTTCTTTCTATACCATTTTTGGCAAATCATTTGAATGACTTAGTGTGCAGCAGTAACACTTCATTCTTTACTACGTGAATTTGGCAGGAGGGATGGCTAAGTATAGGTCAATTTACAGCCAGAAATTTTAAGACGGCACAGCTAGTTTTAAAGTTCTATTATATTTCTGATCGAGTAGTTAATTTGTCTTTTTTTTCTTTTCATATAAGTCATGGCATGTTGATTTAGTCACATCGTGTAAGAAACTGGTAGAAGTGATCTGCATATACATTACAGAGAATCTACAGCAACTTCAAATGTATCTAAGTCCTCCCCTCCCCCTCCAGCCCATTCTCCATGCAACTTTGGTTCATATTGAAATAAACCCCCGAAAAATTGAATAAATAAATAAAATACAACAAAACAACTTTCTATACTTGCCTCTTCATTGTCATTTCAAATCAGAGACATAACAGTGGAAAATCACGTGTGTATGAAGAAAAACTGACCTAACCTCATTTTCTATTATACAGGTGACCGACTGCAGTAAACCCACGTGGACTTGACTAAGAAGTGAAAGATGACTTGGATTTGCAAGTCTATTATGGATCTCACAGAAAAATTTATACGTAAGGTCTACTTTATAAATCGGGCTCATGTCATTAGTATTATGTACCAGTCAAATATGTTCTGAAAGGCGCTGTCGTTTTGCCAGCTTGTCACTGCCAGCGGTTGATGGCATCACTGCTATTCCCAACCACGATCCATATACATTACCCGACACCAAATTCTCCTTCTGCAATGCATTTAAAACTTCACGATTTCCACACAAACTAACGTTCAATACTTGTTCTTTTTAAACACATGGGCTCAAAGCAGCTTGTTTTATGAATACTCACTTAGTTTGGATAAAATCACAGTGACTTGGAAAAACCGCATGGACTGTACGTAACACCGGAGAAAACCGCTGATAGGGGGCACGGTGGGCGACTACAAAGACAATTAAGGCCACGGCAGCTGTTTACGATAGAGTGAGCAAACAGCAAGACAAGATGAATGTCACCATAAATACAAATGTTAGCAACACGTAGATACGATTATCTTACAAACGCGCAAGGCTCGTATTGCGGGGATATTTTTTCTTCATTAATAAAGAGAAAAAAGTAGGTCTCAATCTTGCGTGGCAAATGTGCGTGCACGTGTGTGTGCGTGTGTGAGAGAGACTCAGACTAGCTCCGTTCACATGAAAAATCCATTTTCTAAAAATCTATTTTCTATTCGCGGTATCTTGTGATCACTCCGAGCGCAGCCGAGAATTAATTACGGCTTTGGAAGTAAATGGCTCGCGCTGCCAGTAATTACGCCGCGGGGTATTCAGGGCACAGACCGTGATCACAAGATACCGCGAATCATTGCCCCCCCCCTCTCTCTATCTCTTTCTTTCTTACACAAACACATATGCACACGCACGCACTATTCTTAAAGGGATAACAACTATTCTCAGGTTATCCATGTTTCACAATAAATGCATTGTAAACAGCCCATAGAAATATAATAAATTCCATTTTACCATCCAAAACTGTGGTTAACGCAGTTATTCTGGAATTTGTGCTTGCCATCACATCACGTGACTTCCGTAGATGACTACACTCTGTGATAGGGCCTACAGGGGTATAATCTCTTAAGAGAATATTACAGAAAACCAAACTTTTTGGAAAAAAACAGGGACATAATTCGACTACTGGGCGTTCAGAAATTTACCACCAGAATTGTATTCATTTCCCGTGGTGGGCTGAGATGTGAGATATATTGCTTTGATTGATTTGTGTTGCACTGAGCACTCAGCCTCTTCAGCCACTTCATGACAAATGTTTTTTTTAAAGCTGGTTAGTATAAAGTTCATCTCATAATTTTTTCTACCAAGATGTAAGAAGTGAATGCTGGTAGAGACAGCTTTTCAATGTTCTCTTTCATATGGCAGTATATTCCATTATTTATATCATTGCCCCACTTAATTGAATTTAAGATTGTGTTGTTCAATCACATTTGACGTGGAGGTCGAAGATCCGATGATATTTATGTCAATAGACAATCGAAGGGTTAGAGGACTGGAAGAGTTCCCCTGGTCAGGTCCAATGATTTTAACGCGACCACGTCTTCATCACCTATATCTGATACAATAAAGAAGTAAATACTAGTAAAATGGTGCAATATAATAATAATAATAATAATAATAATAATAATAATAATAATAATAATAATAATCTCTGCCTACAGGATTAAACACGATGGACAGCTATAACATAAAGACGGCTAAATGAGGTCTACACACAGGCATGGTACCAAACCACAAACTGTAGACATGTATTGCCACTTTAAAACTGAGTTTCTAACCATGCAGATACCTTAAAGGGCAGAAGTTAAATGTAAGGGAGTGTTCAGATATGAAATTAATGTAAAGAAGCTTTCAGATAGGGCGCATTCCCATAGATTTAAGTTCGATCTATCCCCGTAGAGAGTCTCACTAGATTACTGTCAGATAATCTGGCTTAAATGTCCGTCCCGCCTACTACAAGCTGTATTAAGGGGGTAATTAACTTTCGTGTCCGCTCGGCTGACAGCTATTAAGCGTGAACCCCCAAGGAGTTAGGTCGATCTAGTTGGATCGATCTAATCTCTGGGAATGGGGTCATAGACTCATCGTTCTAGCTGGATCGATCCAACTCTGCGGGGATTTTTGTTTAGGTGAAGTCAATGCAGTCAGCTGCTTAATTGTCTGCCACGCCTCCTTCCCCAGCAAGGGGTACTAAAGTGCGCGCTCGGTTCTCGGAAGCGCTTTCACTCGAGGAGACGTGAGACACGTTCCCCTGCAAAGTTGAATCGATCCCGCTAGTACGATGGGTTTATCTGAACGCGGTCTAATATTTTGACTCAATTTGGAACAAGCTCACATAACCTTAGGATTGAAACTAATAAACCAATAAACTCATACCTACCACCGAGGCTGCTGACACATGCAGATTGTCACATGCACCTTGTGTGATCTTAGGGAACATTCCCCACACCCTATCCTGCTAACTGTGGATCGATCTATCTCCAAGATTGCTTTGAGCTTAAGCGGCTTAGATGTGTGGTACGCCAACTGAAGCTGCTAAACGACAGTTTTAACTAAATTAAAATTACCCCCTAACAGATTCAGTTGAGGTGCCAGACATCTAAGCCGCTTCAGATGCAAGCAATTTAGCGAGAAACCCCTCGGAGATGGATCGACCCTGTTAGATCGATCTAGGTATGGGAACCCAGTCAAACACTCAAATCAACCACCGAGGCTGCTGACAGATTAACACATGCGCGTTGCATGATCTTAATGCCACGGAAGACGACATTCATCTTATCACGGCGTGTTATCCTTGTGGGTACTTTCGATGAAAGCTATTACAGATTGCAGGTAAATCAGACACAAATGTTTAATATTTATTACAACAAAGCAAAAAAATTAAAGATACATAGTCAATTTTCTTTGCCACAAAAGCCAACCAAATGCCAGCATATAGTTTCAAGTAGTATAGCTAAGAGAATTACCAAAAGGCATTGTTTAATTTTACCCGAAATATGATATTTGTACGGATTTTTCTGCTAGCATTCTATGCTGTATATCAATGGGACAGAAAAGTAAGTCACGAAAGTAGGTTAAATTTTTGACCAAAAATTTAAAGAAAGGAGCAGTCTACGGCTATTCAGTCTATCCCTTGGCATGTCGAATTTATTTGAGTCGTATAATAAACTAGTATAAGTGGTTTATATGTGTTACTGGGAATCTACGCTCCACCGATGCTCGGTTCAGCGGTTTAAGCTTATGACACTATAACTGCACTGCCAGTGGTCACTCATATATAAAAAAGCCTCTGATAAGAGAAAGGCCTCTGTCAACTGAAGTGTATCCAGTTACTGTTATCGCTATCACTGTGTTATCTACTTGCCCTAACTATATACATGTGATCATTTTTAATTATATAGTTATCATATTTTAGCTTTGTGTTCTGTATTGTATATACTGTTGTTTTCGTATGTACTGCCTATTCTACTGTCATATTTTTTTAGATTTATGGTTGTGCGATAACAGACTGCATAGCGCTTAAGATATTCTGAATATTCTTATTTTTTATTTAGGCCCAGCATCGTATTACTAATTCAATGCACTGACGCACACGCCATTAGGTTCTTAATTCACGAAGGTGACTTTGAAAAAAAGAATGATCATAAGTCGCTGTTTTCCCAAGCTTTGTCATATTCGGCCTCGATCGAATCTTGAGTTTGGTAAGAGAAGTGGTCCACGGGTCGTGATTTGTAAAGTCAAAATATATTTCTCATAGCTGACAAACGCGAACGGTCATCTTGGGTGAAGAACGGAAATCATGAAATTGTTTTTGCTTTTCGCCTCCGTGCTTTTTACGCTTCTCGCGGTAGAACTGGTGTTTGCCAATATGACTGAGGAGGAACTGGAGGGCAAGCTGGGAAAAATTCCCAAGGAACGCAGACTGAAGTACATGAAAAGAGAAACCCCCGAAGAAATCAATAGGAAGATGAAAGAGGGGGGACTGGTAGACATCGACGAGCCGGACGGTTTAGGTAACTTTGAGAGAGTTGATATTTTAAAGAAATTTGTATTGCATTTTTTTCTACTCTCATTCTAAGTATGACAAAGTCTGTCAAACTGGGGGCAAATTTAAGGTGGCCCTCTGTCCGGTATATTGCAAAAGTTATATCAGTGTCAATTAAACCGGGGGAGCGGGCGAAGGGAGGTCCGTAAAAAACTTGCCATGAAGCGCGCTCCGTCTGTTCCATGGTTCGCTTCACACTTTTTTCAGTTAAATACTGCCGGGTCCATTATTATTTTCAATCTTTTGTGACATCTGTTAAGTTTTAATTTGACATAATTTTGCATTTGAAACAACTACTTAAAATTAATATCTACATGCATATAAAGTCTCAAATATAATGCGTTACTCGTCAGGAATTTTTTTGTAAGTCGTGCAGTGGTAAGTTTCTCCCTTTTTGTACATTCAGGAAACACCAGGGCCCAGTTTCATAAAAGACGTTTAGCACTAGCCAGTGTATAAGCCTAACCAGTGGATAAATTCTAAATGATGGTTATACATATTAGTTTAAGGGATAACAGCTGTTCATTTTGGCCAAAAAATGGATTTCCTGGGGGTAAAGGACAATTTCATAATAATAATAATAATAATATGTAATTTGCAACTTAAAAAGTTAGATTTTACAATAAAAAACAAATAGTGGTGAGATACACAATTATAAAATGTACTTGTAAGTGTTAAAAGTTGATAAAAACCTCAGTTCTTAAAATTAATAAAGCCCATGGGATAAAAGTTTTGGACGATCGGACAGTCCTCAGTTTTGGCACAGTGTACTTATAAACCCGGCGCAAAGTAGAGGAACTTTCGTTTATCTCTGGTAGCAAATGATGGATTTTGCGTCCTTCGGAGTAGATTTTATGCAAATATGTTTTAGATAGTTCATCTCTTCTACAAGCAAGAGTGATAACTTTACACGTTTCAAGTGCCCATCATATGGCAGCTCTGGGAATGTAATCTTAGACGCTCTTATCTGGATGGATAAAATTTTATCAACTTATTGTTGAGTGAGACCTGGGTGCCACACCTGATATGCATATTCTAATGTAGGTCTGAATACTAATATGTAAAAGCTTGCAAGTTCATTGGTTGGAATACCCGCTCTTTTCAAAAGCTTAAGATTGTGAAGCCTTTTACTTGTTTTTTTTTTTTTTTTTTTTTTTTTTTTTTTTTTTTTTTTTTTTTTTTTTTTTTTTTTTTGCAAATATCACAGATGTGACCTTCCTAGGTCATATCACTACTAATCTTAACCCCTAAGAAGACAAATGCGATAGGGTTGACACATTTTTTATACTGGAGTATGATATCTTTTTTTTCAGAGATTTATTATCATTATCATGCATTTCTTATGTCGCTGATGAAGAATATCATTTATCTGTCAGATTGTTTTTATTAACACCTTGCATTTGTAGTGCCGCTAATAATTCCTACGGATGGAACGGCCGTCCCCAACCAGTACATTGCCCGTCTTCGGCCTGGTTGTGAATACGAAGAAAGTAAGTGATCCACTTAAAATTGTTAAAAATTTAATTCAGTAGGTTCAGTTTTATCAGGGACTAATAAAAACTGTAATACATATTACATGTATGACCACTCAACATGGCTAAATATTCAGATAAATAGATAAGATAAATATTCAGCTAGGAGCCAAAACTACTAACTCGGTCATTGCAAAAAGTACCTGTGTACCTGTTTTACATGACTTTCGAAAAGTGATTTTGAGAGGTTATCATGAAAGCCTCAAAACGATCTTTAAGGAACTGTTAAACCAAAAAAGATGACAAATTACTTAATGTATTTCTTTCAAAGCAAAGTACATGTAAGAATGACATACATGCACATTTTCTAAATGTACAAGGAATTGTAATTCGCATCGCATGCAGGTGTACCCGCTATCTGATGCAAACTGTACTAATGAGTCTTATATAGTTTTATACATAAACACCGACAGTCAGGTAAAATGTATTTTGTTTTAAAAGCAATATATTCTAATACCCATTTTACAGTTACAATTTACAATTATGCACCCCTTACAGTTAGTCGCATTCTGGAAGGAAGAGGTTACCAAAAAAGGCTGGATTTCAATCAGAAAGCTAACTACGTCATACTAAAGGAAATATATGATAGGTATTTCATTCTTTAACTCGTGTCTCATCCATGAAGATTTCTGGTTCAGCCTTTAGCGATGGATAACTGTGATATAATTTTCATTATTTGAAATTCGATTTTATCTTAGATTTCGAACAATTTTGAAGATATTTATCTTTTTATCCAATATCATTGTTCAGATATCATAGTTCAAGTTTATTTCAAAGATATGTTTTGGGGAGAAAATCTACACAAATTTTTAATTTTCGCTAGTGACCTCCAAAATCTTCGCAAGCGGACTGACCTTTTTGTGGAAATTGAGCAAGATAGAAAAATTTCGGTGTCTTTGCAGCATTGTTCGAGTTCTTTCCCGGCCGACTCTACATGGGTAAATATCAATGTGTGTGTGTGCATGTGTATGTTACAGTTTATATGCGTGTGAGCTTCCTATGTTTTAAAGATTTTTTGTCTCAGTACGCTTCCATGTGCAGCCTTTCTCTCTTTCCTCTCATTCTCTCTTTCCTGAGTGCAAATCTCATTTTATACGGGTATAGAGGCGTGTCTAATTAATCAAATATGTTAGTATAAAGGCTGCAGACCTCTGCCAAGGAGGAAGATAATTTATTTTTATTTCTTAGTTTCAACAGACAAAGAAAAAATCCATAGCTGTCTTATATAGAATGTAGATAAGGAGGATGATTTTATTTGAATCCAAATAAAATGGAATCAAATTAAAAAAATTCTGACGACCGGGCATATATACTACGGCGTATCTCCGCGAAACCCAGAGTAGAGGAAATGTGTTTTTGATTAATTTTTTTATATCTGTAAAAAGTTCTTATCAGTTTAGCACTCGAAAAACCCATAAAGCAAGCAATATATTTTATTAATATTTCCCCCAGCTTAGTTTGTATATTGCACATGATCAAAACAACAGTTGTCTATGTGTATTTGGCTACAATAAACTTTTTTCTCATTGAAGTGGATGGCAGTAACAACAAACAAACAAACATAAACAAACTTCTTCGTTGACGGATGTAAAATCGGGGGGGATCCAGGGGATCCAGATTTATTTAAAGAGGGGGGGGGGGGGGGTCCGCAGATGCGAAGCCGACCCTACCTCTTCCCCCTTGGCGTGGGGTTTGGGTCCCGAAAATTTTTGGTATTTTAGAGGGCGAACGGTGCTGCTTGTTCGGTTTAGAACTATGATTCAGCTGGTCAAAATTCTAATTTCAAGAGAGGTCCATTGGTGTTATTTTTTTCAAAATCGAAGGAGGGTCAGGACCCCCCCCGACACACTCTTAAATCCGCCACTGTAAAATGTCTTTCCATCATGTTTTCTTTTATCCAGAATTTGGACAGAGTATACCCAAATAAGGATAATTTTTTCTCCACCTGGGCACTCGGTCTAGATATAGACGCATATGTCATTGACACTGGAATTAATCCTAATCACGATGACTTTGGAGGAAGAGTGCAAGTGTCAAAAGGTAAATTATATTAAAATGGAATTACATGAGAGAGAGAGTGTGAGAGGGACGGCGTGAGAGAGAGGTGAGTGAGCACAAGAAAAAAAAAAAAAAAAACAGAAGGTTAGCAATTCTCATCAAAGTTTTATGTGTGTTATTTCAGGTTGGCACGCACGTGGTTTTTCCAGTCCTGCAGACGACCAGGGTCATGGTACCCATGTAGCCAGTACCGTAGGTGGCGCCACCTATGGAGTAGCCAAGGAGGTGAACCTCATCCCCGTCAAGGTATGCGATGAGAATGGGTATTGTCTTACTTCCGATGTAGAGGAGGGGCTATACTGGATAGAGACACAAGTTAAAAAAAAACAACCGTCTATCAGTAATAAATATGTCACTCGGTGGTCCGAAAAGCGCGTCCCTCAACGACGCCGTGAACGCGGTATTGGATGTAGGCATCCCAGTGGCAATCAGCGCTGGGAATCACAACCCGTCAGATCCGAACGATGAGACTGATTCGTGTAATGCATCCCCGGCAAGCGTAGAAGGGGCCCTCACAGTTGGCGCCACAGACGAAGATGATTTCTTGGCGGATTTCAGTTTCTTCGGAAAGTGCGTCGATATCTACGCTCCAGGGTCGAAAATCATGGCCGCCGACTTCCTAGACATTCACGGTTCGACAGAGAAAAGCGGAACGTCGATGGCCGCACCCCTCGTCGCAGGTGCGATTGCGGGCATGCTGCAGGTGTTTCGCGATGCTGGGTACTTCACGGCACCGTCGCAAGACGTTGTGGACAACATAAACCATTACATCATCGAGTTCGCGGAGAAGGGTACCGTGCTTGGACTCCGGGCGTTGAACAACAACAACGTTATGCTTCAGACCCCCTGTCTGTATACTGTGTAATGTCTTCTGGAAATACATCCTTGCCTAAAATAATGGAATATTCCGACAAGATATAACATCTGCGTTTTAAATATGTTTAGGTTCAGTCGTAAGTGGTTCGTTGTAATTGCATTTTCTACCTTAAATTTATGCTTGAGATTGTTTTATCTCTTTGGTTTTGTTCTAGCGATCAGTGATAAATTTGATAAATTATCGGTAATCAAAAGGAAAGAGCAAATGATGAAGGAAGCATAGATTGGAGAGGAAGACCAGAATAATCCAAAGATAAAGAATTTCATCTCAGAGTTAGTATTTCGTGAAGCACATAAAACAGGATGACGTAATCTATTCTTCTAGGTCAGCGGTCAAAGTTGAGGAAGGTTTTGTGTTAATTTTCACAGAGTGCTTTGAAAGAAAAATTATGTCCCTAGTTTCCGAAATATTCCATGATTTTAGCAAAAGTGTGCGCGCGTTGCTTTGAATTTTCAGCAATTTCCTAAGGAACTATGCTAGCGGAATCGTGGGTGGAAACAATTTCCCCTACACTGACTCTTTTAGACGGACCCTTAGGCTCATCAAACATGAACTTTATTAATTTTTAGAATCAGGATAAGGTTTAAAAAGAGATAAGAAATATACTTTTCAGCTTTTGAATATACCGTAAGTGGACTGTTGTCTTTGAAATTAAGATATTCCACGGTGGCATAAAAAGATACAGTGCATTTCGGACGCTCTGCAATGCTTAGGATGCAGGTGTATTTAAATCTTGATATCAAGTATTTAAAAGAAACGGACTGATACGTTAGTATGAATGATTTAAAAGATTTTGCACGTGATCTGTCATACCCGAATTTTCACATTTTTTGGGCACATACCTTCACATGGGCAACCATACGACAGTAATGCAACTTCCAAGCAATTTTCCACCCGTGTAATCAAATGTGAGTTTTATATTGTATGCGAGATATCCTCTTTTTGTCTTGTAACTCAACTGCTAATAAATTCAAGCATGAACGCAAAGATTTGTATGTTTATATTCTTCTATATGGGCACTTAATAAGTATGTTTTACAACTGAAAATACGTTACGTTTCCAGTCCATTTCATTTCATAAATCGTCACAAAATATCGACATTCATGATTACACAAAGATACAGTTAATGAAAAAGATGACATTAATTTTAAGCACACGGCCATGAGAAACCCCATATTTATTGGTATTCCAGGCAGCTTGATTTGATTGGTTGGCGGCACATTAATCAATATCTCCGCGCGGATAGAGGTTCGAGGCGTGGCGGGAAGAACGATGAACCTATGCAAAAAGTCAAGAGCTTATAAGTGAAAGGAAAATGCGTAAATAGATATGTTGTAGAAGCATGCATCTTGACCCGTCGTAGCGGGGAGAATGATGTAAATTAATAAACAAATGTGCAGTAAAAGCATGCCCACCAACCAGTCGTTGCGGGGATAATGAAATATGAATGAAAACCTATGAATCCGATCAAAGTCATTACTGAGATTCTTCTGTATAACTACAGTAAAAATAATGTGGGCCAGAGAACGTAGGGTGTTGTAAAGGAGTACCTCTGGGTTCAGAAAGCGGGCAAAAAAATGATATGAAAGAAAGCCATGAGTAAACTACAATGAGTAAACTGAAACTACAATTTGCAAAAAAAAAAAAAAAAAAAAAAAAAAAAGCAAGACTTGCTGGTCCTGAAAACATCCATACTGTAAAAAAAGAAACAAAGGCGTTGGTGCAGAAAATCTGTATTTTGAAATGAAATGAATGCATGCCCCATTACCATTAAATCATGTGAGCCCAAAGCTTCAAGATTGTCTAAACAGATAAATTTTATTTTCCATTTAAGCTCTATCCAAAATGATTTTAAAAACGAATGATAGCTTAGTTTAACTATGCTGCATATAGGTCTAGACTGACAGCACGAAGTGTTGCTGCATCGCCCGGTCGGAGACATACTGTAGATTGATTAGGATGCTGGAGTTACACTGTATATAATAAAAGTGACCCTTTTCGGCCAAATCTCGAAGAACCAATATCCTTTATTGAATTCTTTTTTGGTTTTAATGTACATTGGGTGATTTGTGGCAAGCTGGGATGGAGGGGGCATAAAGGCACATTTGGCACTTTGTTAAGTGTTCTTTAATCTTGTTAATTGTGTTAGTTGTGACATTTTGATGATTTCTTGACATTGTGTTTGCGGTGAAAACATGCCATCTTGAGAGAAACCGTTTTAAAAATATGACTGTATAAGTTGTACAAAAGTTTGTTGGCCCATTTACATTTAGAATTTTGTGTGGTTATGTTCAATATAAACAGGAAACTGTAGCAACAAGACCTTGAATCACATCACCGCTATATCAATTGTCACATGCATCCAGCATGTGCTCCAGACATAGAAAGAATACACTAAAAGTAAATTAATTTAAAATAATCAAAGTGTACTTTTTCTGTTGCCGTGACCGTACCGTTGAAATACTAGAAAACTTTCTTGGAGTGGATATATTGTATTTCGCTGCAGAAAAACTATTGAAAACTAGCAAAAACTGATATAAACTGATGTGAACTAAAACTGAATTAAACTGATTTCAACATAAAACAATATGCATCGGGGAGACCAGTGTCGCTGAACCGAACTGTTAGGGCGGGAGCTCAGTTTTATACCTGTATGTCATGTGACACATGAACACATCTCACTACAATACTCTGATCTACTCTCACTTGTAAATACAGAGCGTGTTGCAGTTACATTTTCTACGTCTGGAGCACTATATATATATATATATATATATATATATATATATATATATATATTTATTTATTTTTTTTTTTGTATAAGAGCACTGCACATTTATTTTAGGGGTGAAACATACCACCCCGGATACAATGATCTACAGTACATTGAACTAAGAGGACGCCCTTTGATGTTTGTAACAAAGCTGATAATTGTTAAATATCGGCTTGATATGATGAGGCAGAATACAACTGTATTTTACTACATTAATAATAATAATAATAATAATAATAATAATAATTAATTGAGCACAGAAATGTTTTTTACATTTAGAGGCTCTCTAACTACTATATATTATACATGTGGAAAGATAGTAATAATAGTATTTAAATGAAAAAATTATACCTATATATAATGTTATACAACATACATTCTAGTAATATACAGGTGAGATGCATGAGATTGTTTGTGCACTTCTAGGTTATTACGTTTTTTCATAATTTTACTTACAAAATTCCCTACTGCAATTGCACTCTGTTCAGTGGGTGGGTTTAGAATGAAGTCAGTGTCAATAAAGTCAATCAATTAATTTCTTAAACATATTTATCAAATTATTATCCTGTTGAATTTGGATAGCAGAGGTTCACGATATATTTACAGAAGCTGGTCTCAGTGAATTGAAACTTTAAAAGAACATAAGAACATTATCTATTGAGTTATATTTAAGCAGAATTTACTGGATACAAAACAGCAAGCTATATATTCTTTCTTTTATAAATAATTCAAAAATTGTGGTTATACGAAGATCTCGTTGACCACATTGCCATGCAAACTTACCTCATAAAAGCAATAGCACTGCATTACAAGAGACTGATATGATCATCTAATTAAACTTTCCTCTCATATGGTTGCCATAGGAACTGGTCGCCATGGAAACATCATGTAACCACAAATGAAATGCTCACATTGTGTCGTAACTAAATTAGATTTTTTTCATTTCATTTTGAAATGCCCTAAATATACAGACTGGAAATTTAATATGGAATATTTCAGTTTCGAAAGTATGCCTAGGTAAAAATGCGTTCTTTTTAAAAAAAACTCCGATCTCATATAAGATTTGTGAACGGAGAAGTGTGTAGTCAGGTGTGTCGCTACCAATTAACTGACTTCCATGTCTGTTGCGCTGCTACATTATGTAATATGCAGTGATTTAATTGGGTAGTGTTCCTTTGGGCTAGGCAGGGCTTGGTTATGTCAAAAAAGTATCCATATATCGGCAACTAATGCGTAGAAGAATTTGAAATTTCGTATGCAAGCGGTCAGTTTTGCAGTGCGTTAAATGAGCTTAGTAGTGCTATACAAATTTGTTAATCTGTGGCAGAATGGCGCAAAAAAGACAGAAATTACCATACGGATTATAGTGCCAAACGGAACGGTCCGCACAGTTTTATGGAGTGATGCCCAGACTGATGTACCTACACAGAGGTCACACCCAATGTATCGAAATCTTACCTCCAGGGTACAGGACCCACTGTATTTCGGGATACGCTGCTGCAACTAAACAAAAACCAACCAGTCCGTTCAGAACGAGGGGTAAATTGCCACCAAAATGCGTTTTTCAAGGCCCTTAGCGACCACCAAACTGGTTTTAGCAGGTTAGAATACCAGGCAACCTCCGAGGTGCTTACTGTATGCAGCAAAACATCGTCGTCTGTTTCTCTAATGAATTGGGGGCCATGACCATTTCTGGGTAGAACACTGAAACGGCATGTTTTTTTATTGAGATCAGATTTCACCTGTACCGCCCAACTAGACAAAACAGAGTCTACAGACATCCAGAAGAGGCCTACTACGAAGCATGTGCCGCGTCTGAAGTGACACGGGTCATTGACATCGTCAGTATTTGGAGTGGATACCACATTGGTGCCAAGACACATAATGGTAGTCATCAACGAAAACCTGAACCAGATCAAATAAAGGAATAATCGGGGAACCACTTGACTATCATTTGATAGGGGGCACCTTAGGAACAATTTTAGGTTACACGGTAAGATTGCCGGTTCACACAGATCACTTTTAATAACAGATAACTTACAGAACCAAGGGAACGAGCAGCTACCCTGGTCATCAAAATCGCCGCATTTGAACCGCATAGACAATATGTGGGTAAGCCATTACTCGCCGAATCAACGGCCTACATGTCCTACAACAAAATTTAACCAAATTGGACACGTTTTGACCGATATCTAGAATGTTATCCCAGACTGAA